AACCGATAATTCCATTTCAATATACGTAAACATGATCGTGAAACTAATGACATATGAAATGGTGTCATTGAATGTTATTTGGATTTAATATCGCGGAAAGATTTATTCAAAACTTAGATATAATAAAAATTAATATTTGTTCTCTATAAAAATTGAATTATTTAACAAATTTAATCGATCTCGATATTCTGAAAGGAAACAATCCTCTGAAAACTTGAATATTTTCCATCAATATTTGCGTAACATCGATAATATCAATTTCAGTATAAATATATTCATGAAGCTAATATATGATATGCAAAACACTGGTACTGAATATTATTTGGATATAATATCGCGGAAAGATTCATTCAAAACTTAGATGTAATAAAGATTAATATTTTCTTTTCTATAAAAATTGCGTGAATTATTTAAAAAAATAAATCGATCTGGATATCCTAAAAGAAGAAAATTCCTCTGAAAACTTTGATAATATAATCTCAATCTAGATTAAAAATCACGATGAATCAAAATGAATAAAAATAAAATTAAATGTCAAAAATCGTATAAGATTATCGACTTTTTCGAGGCGACTATCGTAACCGTAATATTATTATTTTTTCCAACGGAAATGGAAAGGTAAATATATATGATGTGTATGAAAGAGAAAGAGAGAGAGTTAAACTACATTATTAAACACGTTGCTTATCGATCGACCAACAAACGCGCATATCTCTGAATTTTTCGGAAAGTACTATACTAATTTCTAATCGTATATATGTAGGTCGAGGGTTGCAGCAGCGATAAATTTCGCGAGAAGGTCGACGGAAACGTGAAACCGCAAACCGGTATCGACCGAAACTTTCGAGATCACGGAATATTTCGAGAAACGTGTGCGCAAATCCGTCATCAGTATTAATCGGAAATTCGACGACCTTCCGAAAGAGAGAAGGTTCGCGCGCGCACGAACTGTCAACAGTGTCAAAGTGTCAACACACTTATTTTTTGACTACGTTTATCACCGTTATCGTGATTCCTTTACACAATCACGAAATGATTGCGTAAATTGAATATAGCCTAGCACACATATATCTGTAATTAGTCATTGCAATCTATCTTTTCTAATATATAACGTAATTAAGTATGAAAACAATGAAAACTCGCGCTATACGCACGGACTTCGCAATATCTATTTTTTTTTTTTTTTTTTTTTTGCAATAAAGTAGGATTAGTCATATTGATTCTTATCAGCGTTCTACATCTACGTTCCTTTCTTCTCGCTCTCAAAAGTACAGCGTCATAAAATTAAGAAATCAGCGAAAGTAAGAAATCGAAAAACTATCACTCTGTCGCGAAACACAGATATTTGCCTGAAAGAGCCGACTTCAAAAAAATATAGAAATATATATCTGTAACTTTTCACTCTTTTGTATTAACAAAAAAAAAGCACTTGCATATCTCCCGATATGCGCAACATGTGATCGCGATATAATATACATACAATGCACCGACGAGATACAGCATCTATCGATCGGAATGAAATTCGCGGGATTTCGCGGAAATCGAGCGTGTTACGCAGTCGCAACGCGTACGCGAGCGACGTAACCCAAACACGTCGTCGCGGTCACGCATAACGCCTCTCTTCCGCCAAGAGCGCCGAGTTTACCGCGGTTAGGCTAACCTACGAGGCGTTCGCCAAGTGTAACGAGGATTCGACTTACTTCCGGCGTTCTCATGCGGCGCGACGCTGCGCTCCCTCCCTCGTCGGTCGTCGCCGCGACGCTTAGTTAGAGAGTGTAACTAAGTATAGACGACGATGGAGCCACGCGACGACGATAATTCACGCGTGCCACGCTTAAAGAGGAAAATGCGTGCGAACCGCGACAGCGGACGTCCGAGAGAGAAAGAGAGAGGGAGAACGAGCAAAAGGGAGACAAAGAGAGAGAAACTTACGCTGAAAATATAATCCGTCCTGCGCGACGTCCTCGCCTCCTGGTGCACCGCCGCCTCACGGCGGCATCGTCCAAGATGAAAAAAGGCCGAAGTGAAGCGCGCCGGGACGTTAAGCGTGTCCGATCGTCGTCCGCTCGGAAAACAAGCGAAAATCGATGTTTCCACCGGTGGCGAGCACCCACACACGCTCTCGGGTATATCTCTCTCTCGCGATGATACAAGTCTCTCGCGCGAGCCGTGTCCCTCGGATTCGCCCGGCGAAACGACGCGCGAAGCCCCGTTCGATTACGAGGAAACGTGGCGGTGGAATAAACTGTCGGGCACCGCCGTGTCGAGAGCGCGCGCACCGCGCATTATCACCTTATCGCGCCACGATTTTCGCGTCACGAATGCCCGACGACCCGGTTGTACGCGGACGACGACGGACGACGCGCCTAGCAGACGACATTTTGCTTTGCGCGAGTCCGCACGAGCCGCGACGGAAACGCCCGAGCGCCCGCCAGGGGCGGCTCGGTCGAGCAACCGCGAATATTCGATTCTAATTTATCCACCGTCGGATATCCCGATTCGCGACATTTTTTTTTTCCCGAATCGATATCCATGTTTCGGAAATTTCAGCGAATTTCTCATTTTTATTTTATTTTATTCGCGATTGTGAATTTTATTTTATTGAAATTTGCGTCGCGCGTGTAATTTCGATGTCGTAACTCCGACTTTTTGTCATTTTTATTTATAATATGGTACTTAATAGCAATGCTTGTGTGATTAATTGAATTGTAATCATTCGATATGCACTGTCTCTTTTTAGAAAATACAGCAGTGTTTATCTCTCCCTTTTTCCTTTTCTAAATAAAATAATAGAATAACAAGTATAAAAAAAATGATTATTTATCATTTATAATTACTTGCAAACACGATAATTTCGTACCTCTATTTTTGATTTCGAAACCTTTGATATTTCGTTTTGGCCACCATCGAATTTCGTATCCTTGTGAATTTCACTTGAAATTTGTCCGTCACGTACGTACATTGTGCAAGAACTAGTTTCTTGAATTAATATGCGTGTCGCGTGTAACCGGCATGCGGCAGTTAACCTTAACTAGGCGCTCACTTGTTTGTCGTTCCTCTCTCTCTTTTGTTCGTTCTTTTGCTCGTTCGCTCGCACGCATGACGCCACAGCAAGTTCGAGAGACTATCCTGCTCTAGCGTGTCAAACCTTGCAATAAAATCTAGCAATTTATTATAGCCGATGCGTAATTCCGCTTCAATCGAGATCTAATTCTTCCAACAACGATTTCATCACAATAAATATAAAATGACCGTAGTTATAGAATCTTCCTCAAAATTCTTAAAAATAGAATGCATTTTTTTTTTAGATATCAATTTTAGTGAATATCTGTATTTAATGAGTAATATTAACTTAATACTTCCTGACAGAAACAATAATTATAGTTTAATTAGAGATTTCTGCGTCTATTATAATTATATAGCTTTCAATCACGAATCTTTCATGCATAAAGCTCTGCAAGATTGTGTATAAAAGAGAGAGAGAGCGAGAGAGCGAATGAGAGAGAGAGAGAAGAGAGAGAGATCTCGGCATTTTACCTCTCTATTACATCATTTACATAATGTACATGAACATACCTATTAACTAGCATTTCTGACACACGTCGACGAGGAAATGTGAGAAAATATGCGAAAAATGAGGGAAACAAATCTCTGAGAACACACACGCACACACACACAAGGACGGTCGTCGATACCGAAGTGGCTACATTGACAAATGGCGATTATTACGGCAAACCACATCGTGATCGAATGACCGGAACTGTAGGAGACACTCGCGACGATTTTTTGCACGCGCAATTCACTTTTGAATGGAAAAAATGCGAGATAACGTACGGAGCATCCCGGCCGCCGTGACTCCATGATTCTCTGCCGTTGCAACTGACCGATTCAAAATCTATCGAATCAATTGCGATTCTCGAAGTATCGAAGGGATCGAGGCGGCAAATTTAAATTACGATTACGATTACGTTTGCACGCTTCACAATTGCACTTCGTAACACGAAATACATGATTTTTAGAAGAAGAAAGATCAAATAAGATAAAGATAAAACAAAAAATTGTTTTGGCAAAATCAAATTCGAGAAATATTGGAATAAATATTAAAAATTATATCTAAATACATAATCTCTCTCAATAGTCGAAATAGATAACTAATAAATAACTAATGTAATAATACAACTAATGTAACTAATAAATATCTAATGTAATAATATAACTAATGCAACTAAAATAAATAACTAATGTAACTAATAAATAAATAAATAGATTCATTTATCTGATAGAAAATAAACAAGTAAGACACTTAATACTAATATTCCCAATTAGGGAAATGTTTATAAATTATTAAAATATAGTTTTTGATCATTTTAATAATTATCTAAATAGTTTTAGAAATGATTTGCTAAACAATACTAAAATATTAAGCTAATGTTCACAGATTGTAAGAACAGGAAACTGGGAAAAAAATCTGATAATTAGCAAAAAGCGCTTATAAGATGCAAGATGCGATAGAATGATTACAAAAACATGTACACGGTTTGCATGTTAATATTAATGGAATGTGAGATCATTTCTATATACGTGGGGACGTCAATTTTTCGTTCACACGTCGTCCCCAATGTTACCTCTGTCGTTGAATGGCAACCTTCAAAACCTTTTGCCGCGGTTGATGTCATCACTAAATAAAGGTGGTGATACTATCGATAAATCTGTTGTTTCCTCTAAGTATTGAATGAGTAAACGCGCGTTTGAGTATATTTCAAACGCAAGGTATGTCATTATCGTATTGAATACATTATCTTGGTGATCGGTCGAGTAACATGTCGATACTGTTTTGATTGTGATGTAATGTAAAATTAATCAATAGCTCTGATCTCTTATGCTATAAATAAATTTAGATGAAGATATAACAAGAAAATAATGCATAGTTCACATATATATAATCATGTATGTGTGTAATAAATATTACAACTATATTCAATATGATAATTATGCTATACATATATTATACATTAATTATAATAGTTTTTATAGGCAGTATATCATTTTGCGATAATCAATGTTAGACCATGTAAAATTTCCATTGGCAGTGATATTTCTACAGTATCATTTTTGTGTCGAATAAAAATTTTATACTTTTATCATAACAAATTTCTAAATTTTACTAAACGTGCTGAATCTTTACCTGTTTCAGCACTGCGTTACCTTTTTTATCATTCACAGCAGCAGTTTTCCAAACGTGTTCCAAATTTTCGCGAGTGGAGTTAATTTCTTTCTGCAATCGTCCAATTGTTTCCTCTTTTTGCCTTAGTAGATGCTTGAAACGTTGTAATTCTCGATGATACTCGTTTTTCATACGGTGCACTCCAAGTTCCTGTACTTTCATATTTTTCTCCGCCAATGCTAAATGCTGTTTGGCACCTTCGTGTACAATCTAACAATAATAATATTTAAAAAAATTAAGAATAAAGAAAAATATATATATATATATATATCGATAGATATACTTTAAATACCTTTAATTGTTCTTTTAAATGGCCTACTCGTTGCGTAATAGTATCGCCGAGAAAATGAATACTTGCATTTTCATTTTCTGTTTCATGTAAAAGTGCAATCAATTTATCTCGTTCAGCGACTGCTGTTTCATACTCACTGAACAATTCTTCACAGTATGTTGTAGTCTTTCTCAATTGCTTTTTAAAAGAATCTCGAGATATTCGCATAGAATGTGCCACTTTTTGAAAATGTTCCAGTTTTCGCTGCATGTGTCTAAAAAGAGAAAACAAAATAAAACATTTATGTAACATTATATAAATCAAATTTTCAAAGTTAAGAGATTTACAATAAATATATTAAATATACTTACTTTAAATTTTTTTCAAAATTTTTATTCGACACTCTTAATTGATTTCTTTCTATTGTATTTACATTAATTGTGTCTTATTTTGGTATTGCAATTCTTCCAATTCTTTGATACGAGTAGATCCTTTCTCTTTCTCAGTTTCATATTGACGTTTTAGTTTCTCAAATAATTGTCTACATTCTTCGACAGCAGCATTATGAACATCGATAGGCATCGTTTTCGTATTGTCGTTTTGTAACTTTTCATATTCCTTATGAAAAATATCATATTTCCCTTGAAGATTACTGAGTTCCGTCCTTGATGCAAGATATTCCTCATGAAGTCTGTTATTATCGAATGACATTGCCTCCACTTTCTGTTCATATAATGTATGGATCTCGTGTATTTTTTGCTTCTGATGGGCCGTTTGTTTTATGTAACATTCGTTTATTTCCTTGAGTAAATCAGCATCCTCGGCTATCATCTTAATTTCATCCACATACTTGGTACACTAAAAAACTTTTACTACAATAATTTGTAAAGTAAACAATAAACTCTGATAACTAAAATACCTTTGATCTTAATTTTTCCACTTCATTCTGCATGCACTCATTCTCTGCGATAATCTCTTTGCATCTAGTACTGAACTCTGCAATATCTTCTTCATATTTATTTATAAGTTCTTGTTTCTCCGACAGATTTTCCTGATAAGCATCTAAAAGTGGACCTAATACATGAGTATTCACAGAACCCCATGACTCTAATAGTTTTTTATTACTGTCTGCTGGGCTCTTAGAATCTAATATGTCATTAATATTTTTAGATATGACACTCTGTCCCAATTCTCTCATTTTATCTTGATATTTTTCTAGTTCTGCATTTAAACAATATATTACATTTTTCAAAAGCACTATATCTTCGTTTAGCTGAACATTTTCAACTTTGCATTTTTGATTAAATGTTAGAAGATTGGAATTGGTTTTCTCTACTTTTTGAAAGTCTTCGATAAATTCTTTGTGATATGCATGCAACTGACGATATTCTGTTTCACGTTTCACAAGAACAGTATTTAGTTTTTCATATTCTTGTTGAAGGCCCTCATAATTTTTGAACAATTTGTGATACTTATTGCAGATTTTTGACATTAAGGAATCCTTTTCTCTTAATTCTGCAATAGTCTCTGAAATTACATTATAATAGATAATTTTTATAATTATTCTTTAATTAGTAAAATATTATTTGCATTGTAATAAATATATTTATGAAAGAAAAAAAGACTTACCAGGATTTATCGCAGAGTTTTCAAGTTTCATCGTTAATATCCGATTTTCTTCAACTAATTTATCAATTTTCTTTTGAATACAATGTTTTCCATTTTTCTTATATAATACAACACTGTCATTATTTCTATTTTTATCTGTCACTTCGTCGGATTCACCATTAACTCTTGAATGACGTCTTGTTTTATGAAACCGTCTGTAACGATGCAGTGGCTTGTGCACTGGTTCCAGTTCATTTTCAGTAATTGAAACCTTACGACTGCTGTGCTGCAATTACAATAAAATTATGTTAGACAATAAAATAAAAAAATATATATTAAAAATTAGTTTGAAACAAAAATACAGAAAAATATACCACTTAAACTATATTTCTACCTTTTCTTTATAACGCTTATCAACACTGTTATCACGATTTGGCATTGCCTACACCTGCTGTTCGAATACAGGCAACAAATAATAGCTTTTAAAAAGTCATTTCTGACGTTATTAGCGGAAACACGTGATGCTTGAGATCGTATCGAGTGTAAATTTTAGAAGGCTTACGTCTTGTTTATGTCAGATGATGTTTTGTGTTTTGAACGCAGCCATGATCCGATCACCATGGCAACAATCGACGACGAAGTACCAGGAACTCACTGTTAGATGGAGCCACAGGCGCGTTTTCGTGATCATTTCTAGTACGACTTGGCGTCACGCGAATCAATGAAAGGCGACACATGTATTAACGCATATGACATTTCATTCAAGTTCATTCAACGGAGCAGGGCACGCTGAAAACGTGTCACATGTCACATACCGAAGAGAGAGGGAAGGGGGAGAAAGATAGAGAATTGTCATTTATAATAAAATTGCTCCGACTCTACTTATCCTCAATTTATTCTCGTTAAAAACCGTGCGATTACGGAAGTAACGCGCGCCAATTATTTTCAATAGATTCAAAATTTTAATTTACGGAAGTTTTAATCCGTATCATATAATGTGTGTGTTGACAGAACATATCTCAAGATTGACTCCTGCGAGCATGTCACCGTACATACATTTGTCTGATTGAACGATATACGATAACAGCCGCAATGCAGTTCTTATTAAATGATACTGCCTATCCCTGAGTTGTACCGTTTTATAACGATGATTTGGAAGGAAATTTGATTTCATTGATTACCAAAGAATTATTGTAGTAAATGTCGTTCTTACGATATTGAAGAAGTAGTCAAAGTAAAAAGAGTTCTTACATTTTAGAAGACATTATACGCATATCTTAAGTAGTTATGTAAATTATGTCTATGTCGCAATAATTTATTCTTGACGCACTCTTAGGTAATACTTGGCCAGAACTAACTTATTTATCATTACCATTTCCGAGGTAATTTCAGTACCGACACTTATTATAGATAAGACGGCCTTGGCCAAAAGATTATATTACGCGTTCGTAGAAATCCGATTAACGATTATCAATATCGCAAATTGTATGCAATATAAGTATAACATATTTTTCCTGTACTTTATATCTGTAACAATTAAAAAAATTTGCAAGATATTTCCTCGCATATAATTATTAATAATGAATTATCTTTTTAATAGGTGGACTATTCGTGCTGACGCTGTCCTTGTATTTTATAATGTCAAACGGCTTGGTTTATCACAATTGCAACTTTTCCCAATATTTACAATCTGGCAGCATTTATTATGTGTACAACCCTGATTATCCCAACGTCTCTAAAGGTCGACAATCGTGCAGGTGGATTGCGGAAAGTGACTATCGGGTGAAATTAACATGCAATAATTTTAACATACCTTGGGTAAGAATTTACATTTGTAAGGAAAAATTAAATACTATTTAAATCTAAATATTATTGAAAGATTGAGCCTGTATTCATGAAAAAAAAATTAAAATGATTTGTTACTAATTAAAATTCACAAATAAATTACAGATTTTTTTACAATAATATCCAAAATATTTTTCGCAGAATTTTAAATGTGCCATTGACAATTTAACTGTACACGTGAATAAATCTACGGCCAATTCCTATTGTGGCAACGAGACATTTAGCGTAGAATCGACAGGAAAAGTCATGATCATTGAAATGTCAACCGCATTTTGGTCATCGGGAGCTAAATTTTTGTGCGAACTACAAGCGATCGAAGAAGCAGAGGACGATAATTGTAAATGCGGATGGAAAAATCCGGTGTGCAAACCAAATAAAATTAAATACTAAAAAATTTGATATATGTACAATACATACATTTCAAATAAAAATGTCTATGTATTTTATCGGTTTTTAATTTTAATTTATCAGACAAAAATAGTGGGAGGTAATGAAACTGGGGTGAATGAATATCCCATGATGGCTGGTCTCGTCGATCCTTTTCAAAGAGATGTATATTGCGGAGCAACCATCATATCGCAAAGACACGTTTTGACTGCCGCACATTGTCTGACAGATAGAAATACAAATAGCGTAGGTGTACTTGTAGGAGATCACGATCTTACTACAGGTATGTTAATATGTTTTTCTTTATCGAAAAGATTTTCTAATGGAACATGTATATAAAATTTCATTCAAGTTTTATTAATCTCTATTATTATTTTAAATTCATGTACATGTTACCTGATTATATAATGGCCAAAAATTTTCTAACATTTCAGGCGCAGACACAAATGCGACGCGCCTTTATACCGTATCCCGATTCGATATACATCCTCTTTATAATGACGAAACTCTAGACAATGACATAGCTATAGTAACGACGAATTCCATTATAAATTTCAGCGAAGAAATTGGACCGGCTTGTCTTCCCTTTCAACATCGGTTCGATTCTTTTGCAGGAAGTTATGTAGATTTATTGGGTGAGCGATATTCGCTATGTTTCTAGGAAATATTAAATTTTCGTTGTTTCACGTAAGTTGCATAAATAATAAACTTGCGATGCATTTAATTTGATCGAAATATAGGTTGGGGAACAACACAATTTGGCGGAATGAAATCAAAAACTTTACAGAAAGTTATATTAACCGTACTCACGTATCAAGAGTGTCGTCGACGGGACCCGAATTTATTATATAGTCAATTATGTACTTATGGGGAGAAGAAAGACGCGTGTCAGGTAGCATTGTATTTTTTTCTTGCGTAAATCCTACAAAATTATTGCAGAGACAGACACATTTTTTCCTTCGTCTATATTCTATAATTTATAGTTCGACAGTGGTGGTCCCGTTCTTTGGCAGAATCCTACGACGAGACGAGAGGTTCTGGTGGGTATTATCAGTTTCGGGACCGGTTGCGGCAATAACGAACCAGGGATCAACACACGTGTCGGCACTTACATAGATTGGATTCTAAGTGTAACGTCGGGTAAATACATGAAATATACAATGCCCGTTATCATCTCATTAAAACGTAGGGTAAACAAATGAAATATACAGTGCGTTATCATCTCATTCCGTGCTTATTTATCCTCTTACAGGTACCGATTACTGCAAGTCTGAATAAAAGGAACAAGTACTTCAAGTGATATTTAAAAGGATATCACTTGTTATTTGTGAACAATTATTTTTATATAGCTTATTATTTATAAACGCGACATATTTATTTGTAAACTGTTATTTATATATTTATTTCTTTCTCTCTCCTGAAATATTTCAAATTGATGTATGTATTTACGAGCAAAAATATAGATTTCTGATTTATATGTTTAACGTGCAATAAAATCAATATATTTCGACTGCCTTAGCCAAGACGCTTCAATCAATATCCTCAGACCTAGATTATATACTTAATAAATCTCAAATAGATTATCAATGGTACTTGAATATTGAAATTGTTATGCAGCATATTTCTCATGTATCTATTTGCAAGATTTAAGTAGATATCCTGAAGAGCTTCGAGCGAATATTTATAATATATTTCGACGCATATTAAGGTATATAATTTTATTCTAAAATAATGAATTTTAAATTCATTGTAATGAATTTAAAAAGAAAATTATACATAATAAATTATTAATTCCAAAGTTGTATGTGTACGCTTATGAGACTTTAGATTATCTTTAATAGCAATTTGTACAGTGTAGAATGATCAACATTAACGGCTCGTAAACAATGTCTCATTATTAATAAGTTCCTGAATGAGGATGTGACGTTAAACTGTTTATAGGAGGGAATCTATGGTAAACGTCCACTTACACCGACCAATGTAGTACCACATTAACTTACTTGTCATGGCGTGTATGTACCGAAGATTTACATCATGCACTTTTATCATGCTTATCAAGAGAGAAAGAGAAAGAGAGAGAGAGAGAGAGAGAGAGAGAGAGAGAGAAAGAAAGAATAAGAGAGAAATAAAATATGATATAAATAGATACAATAATTGGCATTATAAACGTAAAACGATCTTTGATCTACGATAGAGATTGGTTCTTTGTCATAATTGAAATTGATTTGTGTAAAGTGTTATATTTTTTCTTCTGACTATTTATATAAATAAAGATAAATATAATTTTTAAAAAATGTAAACTATCATATTGTATATCAATAAATATTATATCAAGTCTCGTGCGAAGTCAATGTTCTGCGAACGCGTATCAGTTAGTTGATAGCAGTTTCATGTTCACGGCACACATTTATTAAATAAATTGATTTCTTCGATATGCATTGCGATAATATATCCTTGACATAGTTGTTGACTCAATGATAGTACGCAAATAGATACTCTTCCCATATCACGACGGAACACCGTATAAAATAAAAAACTTTTTGCAATAAGATATATATTAGATGCTTTCCTTGGGAAGAAATTTAAGTCATTCAAATAATAATTTTTTATCACGTAAAAGAAATCATTAATAAAAGCATTTATTTTATTTTATTTTGAAAAGCTAGATAGTCGAAGCTAAATGATTCTAGTTAATGTATTCACAAAAATTGTAAAATTGAATATCTTTTATTTGTGATGAATAATATGTTTTTGTTTTATAAAAAATTCTAAGACGAAATTAAAATGTACGACCAATATCGGACCAATATTTCCTCGTGAGAACTCCGACGAATAAATATCCTGTTACCTGCTCGTAGTTCGCATAATCCATGTTTTTTTCTCCGAGAAACGCGGGTGCTATTCAAAAATTCTTTAGTGCATAGAAAGAAGTTGAATAAAGCATTGTCGGAGAACGAGACGATAGGCGTGTATAACCACATTTGAGTGCGATGGTAAATGAATAAAACAGGTACAAACGCAGATATCCGTTATAACATTTTTATATTACATGTATAGAAAATATATGATAAAAGATGAAATCGCACAACGATCTATCCACTGTGAGTTTTACTTGTCACACATTTCTAAATGACAATACAAGTAAAAATAAAATTAATCTTCTATAATAAAAAATAACATGGATCAACAAATATTCTCGTACGTCATCGTCGATTGTTCATCACATTTAACACAGTGCATTATATAGCAAGGACATGCATTACTTATATTACGTGCGTGTTATTCTTTTGTCCCAGTCTTTTTTTTAATATGCATTCAAATTATCTATAACAATAGTGACAATAGAGTTTTTCAGATTCTATATAACGTAATTATACTGACAGAACAATCCAGAACGAATTGATTATTGGGATAAAATGTAATAAACACTGCAAAGTATGAATATTTAAAATCACATTAGAATTTATAAACATCAAAATAAGGAAAACTCCATACTATGAGAATTGTAAAATATTCAAAGCACTTAAAATATGTATTGTAAGTTTTTTACTTTATAATTAGGTGTATTTTAAATGTTTTTCGTCTTATTGAATCTCTAAATATATTTTGCATATATTATATATTATAATTTAATTTTTTATATAAATATATATCTTAATTTTTGAGACTCGTACTTTGATATATTTCTGTATTAGTACAATGGCTAATGAACTGTTCAAATTTGATATATGGAAAATTACTTCCAAGGTTTATGCAATATTATGCAAGCAATGCTCGTGGTATGCCATAATCAGCACAGGTAAGCAAAAAAGAAAGATAGACGATGTGTATTGGATTTCTACAAGACTAAACTCAATATTCCGTGAAATCTAATTAAGCGGATTTTGTAGACTTTTTAAAACATCTCCAATTAAACATTTTTGTTATTATTTGCTGGGAGCGGTTTTAACGATATATATACGTTCTGAGATAACTTTACTCTCGACGCAAGACCAATCAATGTGGAACATTATTTGAGAGAATCGTTATTGTCGTGCATCCGACACGATTATGAGTACATATGCACAAATACTATTCGATGCAAATCACGTAAACGGTGATATATAGAGTGGCGGATAAAGTGAAGAACTCGAGAACAAGGTCAAAAGGTTACGCGACTGATTGCATAACTTGATGAAGCTACTGACTGACTGACTCGCTCTATGCATATAATGTATACATATATTACATGTACGTATATAGCACGTTCAGAAATTCCGCGAAACATTATATCTAGAGATAGCGTTGAATGACGTCATAGGGTGGTTGCGACCCTCTTTAGTCGATGACGTCAACAACTTGAATGTATTGTAAAAAAGAAAGAAAGAGAATAGAAGAAATATTTTTATGATTGAAATATAATAACGTAAATGAAAAAATATTATAAATAAAAATAGCAAAAAAAAAAAGGAATTTATTATATTTATTTTGCTCTCACTGGTCTTTTTATTGAGCTTTAATTTGGGTTCAACAAAGGTTCTCTCTCTCTCTCTTGCTAAGTAATTATCTCGACGAAAATTCCCTTTTCCCTTCGTTTGGCAAATAAAGTGACCCAAATAAGGATTAAGATATTGTCTAACGTCATCACAGAAGGGATGCTGGGGAATCCTTCGATCGAAGTGGATATGACAGAAACGCTGACGCGTGGGAAGCTGCGCGAGCGTATCTTTACTCTCTTTGTGAAACGGCAAAATTCGATCGATGATGCCAGTTTGTTAGTTTAAACTATTCTTGTCATCTCGACAAAAGCGCGAAGTTCAAACGAATAATAATAAAATGCGCGTCACTGAACAACAAAATGAAAAACATTTTCATCCACTCGGTGCTAAAAGATCAATAGGAATACAAAACAATTATTAAAACATTCCAATAACAAATTATGACGTAGATAGATTTAAATTTCATGACTTTAAATTTGCACTAATCTGCATTGTCAAGAAAAAAGTTAACAATAAGACGAGATTATCGCGCAATTAATTAACAACCGTGCTTGAGAATTTATATAAAAATCCCTCTATCACACACACAATCTCAGTTCACATAATTACATTCGGATTACATTTTCCATTCCAATTTTATATTCAAAATTTTAATATTTATGTAAAAAAAAAAAAATCATATCGCAATATCTGAATTTTTAATTTTACTCCATTTTATTTGCCCTTTCTTTTTCTCTCTTTGCTACCTTTTCTGCTTTACAATATAATAACAACACAATCGCTATCCAGCTCTCTACCATTTGAAAAGGGTCGGCTGGCGTATGCGCGTACATGCACAATTACCTCGGCCAATCGGGAGACCGAACCACCGGTAGAACGAACCTTCGTCGCGCTGAACAGACGTCGATGTCGCTCCAGAGGTGCCTGTTCCGTAGGTTCGTTCCCTCGCGCACATCGTCGCGCATTAGCGGCAGCTCAGTCCGATATCGACGTCCGAACGAGGCGCATATCCATCAAGTCACAGGTTGCGGCTTTTGGCCGTTTCGCGCTTTTCGCATTTCTGCTGATAGAACATAGAACAACGAAGCACGTGGAGGCAACTTTGGCGCAGTAATAGTGCAAGGAGGTGATATACATGGGTACCAAATGCCCTGGAAGTTTTGCCCTTCAACATACAGACACGCGCGTCCACTGCGACGTCAATCCGACTCGTCCGAAGACTAACCAGTTTAAATAATAATTCTCACAGAGTGAGTTTTTTTTTCGATCAAGAGTACTCGTATTAAATCTAAAACCAACCACGACGACGAGCGCAATAGTGTCAACGACAACGTCTTCCTCGCATGCGAAGTCAGGCCGAGGGAGACAAATTATGATGCTGAACTTGTGACTTCCACCTATACCAAACGGCAGCGACTTAAAGGAATCCGACCCACGAAATATACGAAGACTGCTAACTGATTTTGGCTGAAGCTAAAGAGGCACTGATTTAACGACTGACGAGAAAATCTTCGTGAATCAAGCTATTTTAGATTTCGAACATCCGGCAACTACTGAGGAGCCAGAAATTCCTAATCTCTCCTCACGTCTCTCTTTCTCTCGTCCATCTCTCTCTCTTTCTATACTTTCCTCTAACTCTTTCCCTTATTTAGATATCTAGCTTCCGCGCGGAGGATCGATCGATATTTCGTCCTGACTGGTGGCTATTAACGACACGCGTACTTTTCATTCGCCCCCTCCTACTCCATTTTTCACGCTACGATTGCTTCCAAACGTAACGTAAGGTGCAACCCCCTTCAAGTCCTCTACCCCCGTCGTCGATTCTTCCATCAATGTCAGGTAGCGCGTGCTAATTCCGCGTATCCTGCATCATCGGTGGTCGATACCCTTCGACAGCTCCGACTATAACACGCGACTCAATCTAATCGGAAGTCGCGGATTTCTTTCGTAACATCGCATCAGCCGGTGTTCGATCTTTATCGGGCCACCTACGTGAGCCACCCACTCTGTTTCCACCAGTTCCTAGCCCACCCTATGACGTATCCTTTCTCATACTTCGCAGTCTTTCCATCCTGTCGCAGTTTACTTCTACATGGTCGCGTATATGCGTCCGCAAACAGTCAATAAGAAGTATCATCGAGGCACACAAGTACCAAAGAGAGACGAGCACAGATATAGAGAACATTTCGTTTTTTCGCCGACAATTGTACATACAATATTAAAAAAGAGAGTCTAGTCGGTTATTCCTTGAGGGAAGAACCGATCTCAGTATTTTTACGGATACAGCAGCGCAAGCACTGTTGACACTATTACAATTGCATAACAAGAAGAAGATAACTACTGTTGTACTACCACTGTTACTGTTATCGTTGTTAACATTATTGTTATTGTTGTTATATGTCCGCTATCCTGTCACCTCATCAATCCCAATCGCTGCGAAATCACGGCGGTAATAGTGACAGTGACAACGATCGCCGAAAAACTCGTGAGACACGTGTTTCTGCCAAATCGTGTCGTTAATTAAAGGTTATTGACGGAGGAGAAGCAGGAAGAAGAGCTGTACACGAGAAAGGAAATAAACAGGCAGCAGGAAGTGGAGGAGAAGTGGGGTCTCGCAACGTATCTCTACGAGATCAAACAAACAAGGAGTGTGCTGAGGATCCCAATTAAGTAATATTATCCACGAGAAGGGTGATCGATTCTTTGTCTATCTATCGAGATTTATGAAAAAATGGTAGTCGAGACCGCGACGAGAAATGGGCACGAGCTGGCACCTTTAAATGACCATCGTCAACCCGCCCATACAGTGACAATTGTGGCGACCGGAAGTCAAAATGCCACCGGCCAAGAGATAAAGGAGGAGAATAGGGCGGCATGGAGTGGGAAAATGCAATTCTTTCTCAGTATTATCGGGTACAGCGTGGGCCTTGGCAATATCTGGAGGTTTCCTTATCTGTGCCAACAGAATGGAGGTGGTAAGTAACATAATCGATACGAGGATTAGAATTAATAATTCTCCGCGTCACACAACTGCACGCACAAATTTCAGAGCAATCGTATAAATAACGCGTTCGATGTACGAGTTGTATGATAACATTATGGCTAATTACGATTATTAAATATATGTATGTATAGCGTACGTAATTTTATTTTAATACACATATACTGTCCATGTGTGTGAGAGTGTGTGTGTGTGTGTATATATATTGTTGATAAGCTGTATGTTTTTATTTTTACGGCCTTCGTAAGCAAGTGACACCTCAAAGTGTTCTTGAACCATAACGCGTATCAGTAGCTAGATAACCCCAGTTTCTCACATGTATGAACACATATATATATATACAATGTATACATCAATTATCCCTTACAGCATCCACGTTAATATATAGTATCAAGATATTGTAGAAGCACGTTTTTTTCTCGTATACACTATAAAGTAACGCGCGAATAATGTCTATACCTGCAAAATTAAATTTTTGCCTAAGATACCAAAAAGTAAATGAATTGAAGAAAAAGTTATTTTATGCAAACTTACAAAATCTCTAAAATTTCTGATCTAAAAACTTGGCAAATTTTGAATCGTTACATATTGCATACGTCAAAAAGATAGACTCTCTTAAGCTTTTCTTAAAATTTTGTCATTTGGTTTCTTCAGATATTTCTGTAGATGTGCGAAAAGTATGTGAATGAATATCAGATTTGGAAAAGTGCACAATTTTTATTTGACTATATATATCTGATTATTTATATCGGGTTGCTTGATAAGTGAGAAGTGTTGACAGCGTGTACGCCAAAAAGTTGCCGCAAAATTGCATGCAACATTGAAAGCTCTCGCAACTTGCAGTCGGCGCCAGCCTCTACGGCGTCGGATGTAAAGCGAAGAAGAGCAGGGACAAGGTTGCACGATACGAGGGCAGTGGAGTCGGTATAGGCACACGGCTAACTATACTAGTCAACGACTATTTTCAGGTATCCCACGCCGACGTTAAATATAACTGCTACGAAATATTCCGTGTGTTCGCGTTCTTAAACATTTCTGCACACGCGCTCTTATCGGCCAATTTCAACGATTTATATGTTCAACAGCTGCAATATTATAAAACACTTGCATATATCTTGTATATTTATGTATATATTTGGTTTGAAATTACTAGTAAAACTTGCCACATTTTTTTCCTTTCTTCTTTTAATAGAGAATTTAATATACTAAATAAGATATAAATTGTAATGAATAATATTAATATACTAGATCGCACACACGCCGACGAGTTATTATAATTTATGCGAAGTCGAAAGATTTCCTATTCCGCATGACTAATTCAATTTTTATTAACTCTGCAATTCTATTCAAATATATTTTATTCCTATTTTTAAAATGTAATAATTCTATTTATATCATTGTACTATATTTTTTAATTTTATGAATATCAATTTTTAATATAAGAACTTTTAATCTAAAAAATATGATCACAGTTTGGTTTTAAAAAAATAAACGATTTTTCATTGTCTCATCATTAATAAAAGTAATGTGCTAGTAAAGAAAAAAGTAGCGTAAATGAGGCGTAATATTTTTTGCGTGGAAAAATACTGAGTATACATTCAAAGGGGTATACTTCACTATAATTTATAGACTCTTCTATAGCGAAGGTTAATAAATCTTCGTGGAAAAACGATATTGATGCAATCACATTGTTCACGTATATATGGTGAAAAATATCCCTTAAAATCTGAATCTAAATATTTCCGACTTTGCACACAAATATCTAATTAAGCTTACCAAGTGTTATAAATGTAACATTCTATCTCAAAATGCATTTCGCTTACTTTAAATTAATTTATATAATTCAGCTAAAAATATATATCGCGATATATATACATATATCTATGCGAAATAAAATAATACCAAATCAATACGGAAAAGAGATATCTGTTATTCATCAGGATAAAGTTAGTTCAAGGTTGTACCTGATTTAATTCAACCAGACATGAAAGGTCGACCAACCGCAAATACTAAAAGACATACGCATTAGCGGCGTGACATTTTGTTTAGTATACCGTATGAAATACGAGTGCAACACGCGTATAAAACATGCGCACATAATTGCAATTTGGACAGATTTTATGAGCGTGTATTTCCGCCCGAGAAAATACCATTCCTTAATTAACAATAAGCGTAAAGTTCTGCTCTCGTGCAAATTATTTCAAGCCTCTGTTTCGCTGAGCAGCTCTCCTTATCACAGTCGCGAGAACGAACAGTTATTTAATATACATCTACTTTCGCGGATGTGGGTAGGTAGATAGGTCACGAGAGGTGTACGCGGGTGGCCCTCGCCTGATTATGACGTCAAAGTTTATATGCACACCGAAATCATATCGGTTACCATCCACCAACTGCGCAGATCGAGCTTCCGTTACTACTACTTAGATACACCTATCTCGTTTTGCCATAGGTAAATACTTGGTCTGAAAAATGCACCGTAGACACTCTGCTCAGAAGTTCACGAGAGATTCAGAATTAATCTCTTTAATATCGCTATATTATAATTTTACTGGCTTAAATCTCCGGAGCAATATAATAGAGTCGCGCAAAATTCAAATATATATATTTTTTCAAGCCGCGTTTTAAATGTTTTGCTTTAAATTATGAATTTAAAACGTGTTAGAAAAATAAATTTTTATAAAGTAAATATTATATAAAATGCGCTATAAAATTTGTCGAATCTCACATTAAATACACAGAAGGAATTCTCGAATTTCTGTCACACTGGCAAATTTGCAAACCGACAGGTTTCGAACTGGCGAAAATTTTTGCGCGTACCTGCAAATCGCTGTCGACGATTAAATTTCGCGATTCTCAACTCATACGTGGGGATACATACAACAGCATTAAGACCTAAAAAGGCTCAGCTTTCAATGGAAATTTCCTCGTTGCGCCGTACCATGTTCGCGTCCGCGACGCCGAACGCCTATCGATCGATTCATACCACTGACTGTGTAACGGAAAGCACGCGACCTAACATCTGCCGCTCTCTGTTTCGCAGCTCTAAAGTAATAGCGGCTTTAAACGAAGAGTCTGCGTTACGAGCCATTGACATGTTAAACGCCAATGTATAACATCGGATTACCGATGACGTGAAGCTCGTGAAGATCCGAAAGAAACGCTATTATAATCGAGAGATCTATATCTATTTCTGCACGTTTCAATTATTTTACCTTTCAATCCTACCCGCTTCTACTTTTTCGTTACTCGTAATAAATGAAAGATTAATGATTAGTATATCAAAATTTTTAGAATGTTATTTATAATCAAGTACGATCAATCAATCACTGGAGTTAAAAAGGTTGCTGCTATTTTTTATAGCTTTGTACAAACAGAAAAAGCAGGTTTCGCAGCTCGCAATTTTCTCTTTAGTTCTAATTTACATTTGTATGATTATCAAAAAGATCGTGCAAGCGATGGAGTGGCTCGACGGGTTAGGACTTAGGTTGCTCGATCAATACAAGGCGTTCCAGCTACGACCGCGAAACTAGACATCTAAAGGCAAAGGGAGAGAGAAACGTGTTGGGAACAAGGGAAGACGCAGAAAAAAACGGATAACGTGATACATCAAATAAAAGAATAATTTAAAATCATGTGTGATATAATTAATATTTCGCTGACAAACTAAAAGAGAACACGTGATTTAAAAATTACGTATATGTTCCACTAAAAGAAATAGAAAAATCCATATTTAAAACCCTGAGTTAAATGTATAATACACGCGATCGATGTCGGAATTATAATCTTGTGTACATTATATATATGCAACGTCTTTCCAAAAATAACTTCTGTTTTGCTTACTTTATATGATAACAACATAATTCGCCTATATACAAATGTATTTATATGGATTTGATAGAAGCACGTTATCTGTCTTGCAAATGAGGCATATAATAAATCAGATATCAAATTAATTTGTTTAGCATATTTTTCACTTACTTGGCAATCCTTACATATGAATTCTGTCTATGTTTATGTATACTCGTATTCTTCGTATACTGCAGAAACTGTAATCTAGTTTAAATTTAGTTATTCGAAGAACATTAAAATTCACAGAAAAGATGCATGATATGCCAAAAATGTGCCAATATTAAAATTTTCTATACACGATTCAGAAAGAAAAAGTCGATCGAACACTGAATAACGGTCGTCGTACGAAATATTGGTTGTCAATACACAAAATATAAATATCTTCGTCTCGTAGCCTCTTCCTTTGTTACATAAAACGAGATCTCGACAGATCTATATTTGCAAATGAAAATAGAAGTGGAAATTTCACGCCCACTCTCTCTTTCTCTGTTTTTCAAAAAGATATTTCGAAAGATATTCTCCGGTGACTCTTTTGTCTTATTCAACACCTTCACGCGAACATATAAATAGCATTGTAATGTTGTAAAAATAATCTAAAATATCTATATAAGAAAAATGACATGTATAATTTCGTTAAAGCAATATTTGCGTGTACATTTTAGGTGCCTTCCTCATTCCTTTTTTCGTGATGCTCATCTTAGAGGGCGTACCCCTCTTTCTGATCGAGCTGGGTCTCGGACAACGTATGCGACAGGGTGCCCTGGGAGTTTGGAACAATATACATCCTTGGTTAGGAGGTATAGGAATCGCGTCGTGCATAGTTACGTTTTTCGTTGCGCTTTACTACAACGTAATTATTACTTGGTGCTTCTACTACCTCTTCAATTCGCTCGAGGTAAGCAGATCGATAACGTTTCGCGGCGATTGACGCCACGGTAATCTGCGTCGAGACATTGTAAGTAACTCTCTCTTCACTCTACATGTCACTGTAGTCTCTTGAATAGGTGGTATTCAAATTTATGTAATCGATATAAGCACGTGCTTTTGATTATGCAAGAATATGTAAAATCTATCGGCACTTTTAATAAAAATTATACTATTATTAAAAAAATATACATATATTAATGAGAGAATCTGAACTGTATAAGAAAAATAAGAAATTATTTTAATTGCTAGCAATTAAAAAATGTATTGTTTTGGATATAAAAAGTAATATTAATTTTAAATAAATGCGACAATCAAAATAAAATGTTCTCGACTACAATTACCGATGGCGTCTCTGTAATATTGTCACATCTCTGCAAAATATTAATAATGCTCGTCCTTTTTTTATGTTTCAATTAGGCTGTCACGATCAAATTCGGTGTAAGTATCAGTCTATTCTAAACAATGAATAATATAGTATAATTTTGCCTAGCTATTGGCCTGGTTATTGTATGAGTTGCATAAATCGAAGCATATATGCAAATTTTATCATGTGACGCTCTCAAAGTTCCATGCTCAAAGCGCTGCAGCTTTTACAGCGCAATAACGGTATGCTCGTTAAAGCGTCTATTGATAATCTATTTGCATATTCTGACGCAACTAGGAATCACTGCCGTGGGCGAAATGCCCGGAATTGAACGGGAAACCGGTCGAGGAATGTGCCAGGAGTTCGGAAACCGCATATTTTTGGTACAGGACTACCTTAGACGCGGCACCGTCGATCGAGGACGGTCAAGGTCTCAAATGGTGGATTGTGCTTTGCCTCTTGCTCAGCTGGGTCATCGTGTTCTTCATCGTCATGAAGGGCATACAATCGTCCGGCAAAGTAAGATCGTATTCAGAGTCGATGTCGATTGATCTGATTTGATTAATCGCGGGTGATGAAGACTATCATTTTTTATATATCATTTCTCTTTTAGGTAGTATACTTTACGTCCATGTTCCCGTATCTCGTACTGACCATCTTTTTCATCCGCGGGATTACATTAAATGGTGCAGGCGCCGGACTGGCGCACATGTACACACCAAAGGTGACGATCGATTTTGTTTCGACTTCATCCAGACGAGTGGTACAAAAAGGCCACGGATATTAGATATGACATTTACGTTATTCGTTCAAGGTTGAGAAATTGTTGGAGCCCCCGGTCTGGCTTGACGCGGCGACCCAGGTCTTCTATAGCTTCGGACTGGCGTTTGGTTCTCTGATCGCGTTCGGCAGCTACAACACCCCTAACAACAACTGCGTGAGGGACGTGATCCTGGTGAGCGTGTGCAACGCGTTTACTGCCATTTACGCGAGCGTTGTCATTTTCGCCATTTTGGGGTTCAAGGCAATGTCAAACGTGGAGAAGTGCGTCGTCAGGTAATGCGACCGCAAGTGCGGCATCGTTTCTAAATTCGTCATCGCGAAGAGAGTAGTGAGAAAAATCGTCCACGGCTGCGGAGATGTATCTTTAAATGGTCGAATGATAACTGTTGCTGCTTGTTCGAGAGATGCGTCGTCGCTTTTTTAACAATCTTACGCTATTAATGCATATAACATATGAGTCACACTAACAGAAGTCTTTTAATTAAATCAAGTTGTGAAATGCAATCTTTATTATTCAAGTATAACAATTCACGTTAGTGATGCTATCGAATTAAATTGCAAAACTTTCACCACACGCAGATTTACATTATCATCACAATTTAATTTAATTAAATGATAAACGTCAGACAGTTGAGCATTTAAAAGTGGGAGGGATTGAATCATAATGGGACGGGATATGCTAATAGCTGATGTGGCGAACAACATGAGGGGCATAGAAGATATGTCAAATTACTTTTATTTTAGCGCGAAGGACACCCTGGTGGCTAATGGGCTGTTGAATCCTTCAACTACATTCAACCTGGAGGACTACGAAGACTTTATGAAAACCTTCAATTCTTCGGAAATAAACGACACGATAAAACCATGCAGTCTCAGCAATGAGTTAGACAACGTGAGCAATGCTTGACAAATAAATTTGTCAAGAGCGTACAGTTTAATGACATTAATTATAAATGATCATTGTTTTTAGGCTGCCGAGGGTACTGGATTAGCTTTCATCGTGTTTACACAAGCGATCGTGGAATTACCGGGTGCGCCATTTTGGTCCTGTATTTTCTTCCTAATGCTTTTGGCTCTCGGTCTGGGCTCACAAATTGGAATACTCGAAGGCATGCTTTGCGTCATTTTCGACATAGATCTCTTCAAAAGAATAAAGAAGCAATATATGACGGGTAAGAGCAATTGTTGATCTATTGATTTATCATCTAGGTATCCGATCCGGAAAACAATAAATATATAAAACTATCTGCTTTAATTTAATTTGCGGACTTAGGAGTTGTCTGTGTCATTTGCTTTTTCGTGGGGCTCATTTTCTGCACCGGTGCTGGGGAGTATTGGCTGAAAATGTTTGACAGCTTCGCTGGTACCATCGGTCTCGTTATGGTCGCCTTGATGGAAATGCTCTCCGTAGTCTTCGTATACGGTCACGAAAAGTAAGTTAAATTTCAATTTTTCTTTCATTCTTTCAATGACCGATCGATTTAACAATCACGCGAACGATGCACAGATTCACGAAGGACATCGAGGAGATGACAGGATACAGACCGGGACCTTATTGGCAAATCACGTGGCGATTTCTCGCTCCCATAATAATGGTTTGCATTCTCGTATCAAGCATCGTCTCGATGTTCATCAAAAAACCGACATACTCGGCATGGAATGCGACATTGGTAAGCAATTATGTAAATTAAGATATTTAATTATATAAAGATATATAATATCTCTTCTAATATTTTGTTTTGGTTTTGTTAGGGCGTGACAGAACCAACGAGTTATCCTAGTTGGGTTCTGGCCATCGCAGCCGCCATAATTTTCGCGGGTATCGCGCCGATTCCGATCGTTTTCCTCTTACGACGATTCCAGTGCGTGAAACTCGACGTGGATATCCATCAAGGCAGTATTCGTCGTATCGACACCACCGTTTCCACCAAGGAAATGATGGGCGACGTTGACGTGAGTAGAGTCATTATATATATAATCGTATAGCAATCGTGTTTTCATATGTAGAAATCTAATGAGTTATGATTGTTGAAAATTGTATGATAAAAAAGGGAACCCTGAGGTAAAATGTTTCCCTCAAAGATAGCGTTATGGCTTGAAATCGTTCGTAATGGAATGTGTAAAATTCATGACAAACAATCCACTATAACTGGACGTGTGTCGAGAATAAACGCACGTTGTCCATTTTCCTTTTGACATAATTGTTTTGGACGCAAGTAGTGCCTCCCCTTAATAACTGTTCCATTAGTGTTGTTCCCCTATCCGAGATAGTTTGTCTATTAAACGGTGTAGCGACTTAATTAGCACACCACGTGTATTTCATGCCTTATTAAATCGCAATACAGCCTTGCGCAATTAAACGATTCGTTAAAAATGAGATGTATCGGTCCCATAATTCCTTATGACGCAAGTTGTTTCTCATGGTGAGCCAATTAAGCGTATCACGCGAAGTGTCTAGGTAACTCACATTTGAACGTACGATCTACAGTTGTAGGTAAGCATCTCCATTCTGTCTGTGGTAACGTCGATTACTCGATATCCCCATAGCTACGTTATACACGTGAGTTCGCAGTATCAGTAACTTTTGGGAATGCATCCTCATGAATGTTATTTTTAGCGCATCCATCGTCACACGTGCACGAAGTCAACGTGCATCGCAGATAGCGCGAAAAATTACACGGCTCTAATATTCTGTCTTCCTTACCATGCGATAAATCATACACACTGAATTCAACGTCGCGATTAATTAATACTCTGCACGATCGAATAATGAAAAAAATTGTATCAATACAAATTTAATATGACACATTTCATAGCAAAATATATCATCAGCATCGATAGAATGCATGATTAGATTTCCTAATATTGTAACATATATGAATATTTAATGTAAAGAATTATAATAATGACAGTATGAAATCTTTTTTAAACAGAATTATTTTATACGGGAAATGCGCGCGATATATCGCTACAATATAAAATATTCTAAATTTAAACTAAATTTTTTAAATTGAAATAAAATTTGCACTATAACCAGCATTCAATAAAATTTGCATAATCGGCGGAAATTTATTTTTACATATTGAACATAATAAAATTGTGATAAATTTATATCGCAGAGATCGTTATAAAAAATTATAAGATATAAACTTATATAAACTGCATTAATGCAATGAATCAGCATGCTTGCTTTTGGTAAGTATGCATTTTAAGAAGTTTGACCTGAACAGCATGTTAAAAATGAAACTCCACAAAATTGTCATCTATCATCAAGAATCACGTCTGTTTCACCAAGAATGAAGAGACACTCATGTATGCGTAGGATAATACATTTGATCGGTTGAGAATTAAAAGTGGTCTGTCATCAATTATTAAATTGCATAATTATTACAAGTTCTTGTTCAATCAGCTTTTTTTCCATGCGAAATAAAAAATAGCAGATAATTGGAAAGTACAAGATATTTATGAGCCTTCGATCATGAGCTAAAAATTTGCAACTTTTGAAAGATGAGAGTTTATAAATAGTTTGTGTTTAGAAAATATGTGATACGTAGGCGCGAACAAAAATGAAACAGACGTCTATTCACAATATAGTAGATCACTTACGATACTGAACCTTTCGAAGCTACGATCACATACACTTTGATAGTAGAAATTAACATAATTCCTATTTTTAATTGCAGTTGTTAGAGATATCTCTACAAACTGTGATCGCAAAGAGGAGTTATTTTAATATTCTATTCTTGCTCCGAAAATCAAGACCGTGGCTTCGTCTCTCTTAGTTATAACCTTAGTTCGCAAAATTCTATAAATATCTAATCTTATTAATTCCTTAACTTTTAGCTTGATGAATATCACGACCGATTGGAGGACTTCCCGGAAGAGGACGAGGACATTAATAGCGATGACGATATAAACACTGCACCGACCATGAGCAAACTCGCCAAAAAGGCAATGCAGGGTAGGGCTTTTAAAATGGAAGTAATGAACTTTTAAGAGCGCATAATATCGGCGTGACTCGTTTGTTTGTGAGCTATGCGGGCTAAAAATATCGGCAATGATTATACACATATATAAAGACTAACTATGATTTATGTCCAATTAATAGTCAAAGTGTTTGCGAGATAAGCTCGTTCACTTAAGATATTATCATAGAAAACAGTAGGCATATAGATATTTACGATAATTAATTTATAAAGACTTGCGGGAAATTACATTTTAATAGAGACTAAATTGTGTGCGTAAAAAGCGGGAGCAACAATTTTCGACACAAAATTAAATTTTTTACTTTAAATCTTTAACTTTGAAATTAAAAGTCTTTTCATACGTTTGGTCTTTATATATACTACAGTCATTGGTGCGTCTTTAAAAAATGAGAATATATATTGAGCAAACAAACAACGAACGAACGTACAGCGCGAACGCTCAAACTTACTTGAAACTTCCTTTGATGTACCACGATAATGAGCAAATTGGATCGGATGTAAGTAAAACACTAACGAAGTATTGCACCTGCGTCCGATCATGATTTGTATGTACACATCTGGTAAAAATTTATAACGAAAATTCGCATTCGTCGTTCGTTTGCTCGAAAAGTAGGGTGTGTCGATCCCGATCTTTTCGTATATATACGTAAACTTTAGGTAGAGATATAGGGTGAATCCGCAACAAAGCTCAATCTAATCGGATCGAAGCCGTCACTAGGAGCAATATGTAATACAAAATAAATTTTAGAGAGGTGTAACGCGAGAGCGACCAATTGTGCGCTGTGACGGATTAGCGTATCGAACTTTACCGTCGTTTACACGCGCTTCCGGGTAAAATCGCGATTCACCAGACGGAATGCGATAGATGTATAGCGAGCGAGAAATAGCGACGAGAGACTAGAACGTTCTGGCTTTTTAGTATCGCGTGATGCGAAGACGATCTGACGCGGGGTCGTTGAATTCGTCCGAGTCAATTCAATTTTTTAATTGAACACGGCGCGATTCTTTTCTTTTTTCTTTTTATTATTAGAACGGTAGTTTGATCTTTCCAATGGGAGAAACGTCGGAAAGACTAGACAATAAAATTGAACGTAATCGAGTTGTTAGCCAAATGTAGACCGTTTGTTTACTGCTCTCTACAGAATCCCGAATGAAATGCTTTTCGCTCCTCCGAGGTTCTACCTTTCGCGTATCATTACATCCGGATATGATCGACCTTGTCTTCAAAAAAATGTTTCAAAAGAAATATGTCTCGAATCCTAAACGGATCCAGAGCTATTCCTTTTATTATTTTATTACTTAAGTATTTTTAAAATTAGTAAAGCACTTTTGAGATTAAAGCAATTTTTTACCGAAAAAAGAAGAAATTAATCAAAGAGATTAAATCGTATGTTGATTATATTGAAAAAAAATAATATAAGTTTATACTATGTCTTAGAACTTTCGAAAACGTATAATATATATACATATGTTTTTTGTCTAATTTTAAAAAGTTAATTAATTTAATATTATATAAAGAGATTAAAAGAGTATTTTCGAAACACGATGGAATTACGGTCGATCAGATTTGCATTATTCAATCTCGTTCAGCAAACAATTTATGTATTACAAATATTATATAAACGAATCACGTCAAGTACGGGTTGATAATACTTTTAATTAGTAGTTAGATTTATAATCCGCGAGAAAGTATTATATTATAATTAATCCAAACAGGCTTTAAAGTTAGCTTAAACGTTATCTTTAAATTTCATTCATCAGCTATGACGGAGTATCACATTAAGTTAATAATTAAAAAGCCTTCATATTTATAGTCTAACGCGTTCCTTTACTATTAATTTCGCCAGAAAAAAAACGAGTATTCAAAGGCGTCACGCGGTGCCATTATTACAAACGTGACATTTCGATAAAATACATTACCGGTGCAGAATATATCGATAGACTACATTGGTGTCGTACTGGTTGCATAGTATCTCGCGTTCTCTTTGCGCGCGAATACGGGACCTCCGCTCTATTCCAAGATAGATTTTCTCTTTCGTGAAGTAGCCCCTTCGCTGGGCTTGTTTGGCTGGTCCATCTATTTTGGATACGGAAATATTGTGTACCGATTCCGCGTTTAGGATATAATCAACGAGTAATCGGTACGCCAAGTTCCATCTCCTAAGTTCTCGTGTAACAATGTGAATTTCGAATAACCGTAATGTCAATAATAAAGAGACTGCGATCCGCGAGGGAATCGCATTTTTGCTGTGCAAATTTCGCGAAGTATTCTTTCGTATATATGTGTGCGTTACGATCTAAGCTCGGAAACGTCATTGTGATCATCCTCTGTCCTATTTATATTATACATACTTTAAACTGAGATCAATTATAACTGAACGAATCAGTGAGAACGTGTACAATATCGCGATTAATTCGCGAATACTGATTAGAATTGACAGAAGATTGACAGGTCGGTGCTATGGAAGCAAAGCGAGTGCATCGAAAAGCGCTCGCATTGCAAGGAAAGTAACAACGGTATGTAAAATAGGAAGCCCTAGGAGCGAGAGATTATTATTATTATTATTATTATATTAATGACATTACGAATTCGATGAAAAACGTAACGCGTGTGTGCCATTGTAAATAATAACTTGGCGTTTATAATGCCAATCGCATCTAAATTAATACCTCGTAAAGTACCTATTTTTTGAATCGCTTAGGAATAGTGTGACGAAGTATCGTACCTACTTATTTTCTTCCCTTTTTTCTACGTATAAAAGCGTATGCCCCTTTTCTTCGTGCATGAGAGACACAAACTTTTAGAAGCTAGTCGTCTAAATCTAGACGTATGTAAGTAGACAATGTGCGAAACGTTCTCTCCTTCGATATATGAGTTATACGATAAGCAATAGCCATTCTGAAGGAGTTGACGAGATAACCGTCGACTTAATGTAGAACACATGACGCAGCAAAAGCACATTTTTTCAGAGACCATTATTCCACTTTCGGCATTTCTTACATTTCTGTTTACATATTTAAAAGAAGTCATACAGCAAAGTTATATTATGTTCAATTTTATTTTTTACGTTAAATTTTAAATATTTCTCTAAAAATTACTTATTAAAATTCCTAATATCTTCCTTACTTTATCGAGAAAAATCTGGGAAATATGCCGAAAATATATTTATAGTACAAGTATATCAATCAATATCAAATATCATCACTCAAATCATTTTCAAATTACAGAATAATGCATGTCGCATCAAAATTTATTTTGCAAAATTTATCATACTTCTTTATTATTGTATAAGCAATTGTTTACTTTAAAACTAATATGCGAGTTATATGAATATACAAAAGAAAATGGTAATTCTAGTGTATATTTATAGCAAACACACATATTGAGATTACAGTCATAATCTTTCATAATGTTACATTATTAACATTAATTTCGAACGCAATTTATTCGATTATTATTCCAAACATTTTTAAAAATAAAACTCAGGTTCGCGTCAACATTAACTCGCACAAATTTAAAACAATATTTCTTCTGAATTTTCTTGATTTCATTCGATAAATGTAATGGAATCTTTGTTTTCAGAATAAAACACAAATTTAGTTTTATGTAGCATGTTTTGCATATAAGAATGTATTTATTATTCAAAGATTAGATGAAATTTTTATTTCTTTTAATTTATTTGTAAATTTTTTTAAATTTTATCATTAATAAAACAAGCACGAATTCTTAAAAAAAAAAGTAACGATGACATGTAAACAATTTCTTTATCTCAACTAATTTAAATCATATTAATTGAACTGTTTATACTGAAATATGATGTATTCATAAAATATAATTTAATTGTAGAATATAATTAATTATTTAAAATAGAATTATAAGTTTATCGCAAATATATAAGTATTGTTAAAAAAAATAAACAGATGAAAAATAGAAGATGGAAAATATTTTCTCGTTACAAAAGAACACGACGAATTATCTCTCTAAAAAACTATTTGTTCTTTCTATATGAAAAGAGATATTGTATATCTCTATTGCTTCCAAAAATCGAAAAATTGTTTAATTTTGAGAAAATAAACAGTATTTTTAAAAATCTCAGAAATGTAACTTTGAATCAAAAAGATTGATGCATGTTAATCCTTAATGAGGGCCGGTTATTCCAACTCTTGGTAAGTTTTACTCGACAGAGGTAGCATATCTTTTTTTAGAATTTATCTGAAAAGAGACGAAAATATGCTACCTATCGGGTAAAACTTACCAAGTTGAAAAAATCAGCCCTAAGTAATGTTTAATTCACGCTCACATTTGTGGGGTCTGTCAGATTCCAAAATTAGAACTTTGCCTTTTAGTTTTTATGTTAAAAAAATAAATAATTAAGAGAATATTAATTTAAAAATACAATAATAATTTTTCTCTTCTTTTCTTGTTTTCCTAGACTTAAATGCCATAAATACATATACTAATAAAAGTAATTATGTTTAAAAAAGAATTGTTCGAAAAAAAATATAAAAAGCAAAGTATCTATGTGTGAAATCCCACATTATTTCTCGTCGACGTTTTTCATGTTACTAGATAAAAGTTGAAGAGCATTCGCAATATCGTCATTCCTATTTTCGAATCGAGCTAAATTTGTATACTAAATTCCTTAAAATTTAACAATTAAAGAATTTGGATACAATTTTTAATCTACCGTTTTATCGAGTAAAATAAAAAAAAATAAATGGCACCGTTGAACACAGAGAACACGCTTAATCTCATCGTTTCAATATTTCTGTATTTAAAGTTTCGCTTAAATGTTTGTGTATCCGATGCGCTCGGTAATTCCTCGAAGTGATATGTACATACGATTATAAATGACATAATTAATGTTGGGTAGTTCTATCTTAGGCGCTGCTGAAGTTTAATTCAGTCATACGGGAAAGAAATTTCTCTCCCAGGAGAAAATTTCTTAAGTTATGCGTAAATATTAAGAAAATAAAACAGCGAGTATTATATTTTCGTTCTTTAGGTTTATACGATATCATAATGGTAATTATTTTAGTGCAAGGAGATCGATTTTCGATAGCGAGTACTTCCGATTATATTTAATTGCTCGACACAATACGTATGTTTTTAATAGCGTGAATGTTCAAATCATAAGCTATCCTTGAATTTGAACATTGTCGCCATACTTTTAGCGACTGAAACTTAGATATTTACTATGTACACAGTGTATACAAAATTCAGAGCATTTAAATAAAAGCTTATTTATTGTCGAAAATGCGTTCTCTTTTAGCGTGTTCAATATTATTAAGGAAATTGCCTTGTTTTTTGCATTTTCTGTATTTACCATACAAAAATGTAACTTTAATAATAATAATATGTAGATAAAAAATTATTATTCGTATTTTTTCATTAAATATACTCACTGATCAAAAATTTAAGCACCAGAAAAACACAAGCAATAAGAACAAAAAATGTACAATTGCATCGCAGAAAAATATGCAAATAATTTCAGTTGGAATTACCATACAAGAACGTCCATCAAAATGCACAATTGTCTGTTGTGCTATTGGAACATAATGTTGTTATTGCATGTGTTTTTTTCTGAATATTAAATTTTTTCGTCGAAGAGTGAGATGTAATAACCTTGATAATCGCTGCGATACCATATTCAATATGATAGTGTCGTTACTTTTGATGCGTAATGATAACATTAGGTTCTCCCACGCAACGATTTACGGCAAAATCTTATCTGTTATAGCAGATTACCAAGTCGCAAACGTTGTCTATTTCATAAAATGCACTAGAGTGCACGGGTATGCAGCAAGTTCCGTAGCTTTTTTTTAACAATGTTCCAAATGGATGTTTGTCAAGATAAAGGATTCGATAACGCATTGCATCCAGAGATTGTGAGTGTGAATAATCTTAAAGTGAAGAACTCTACACGTAATACAATTTGTGCAAATAGAACGGAAAGTTATCATCGTAATGACACGAGAGGGAAAAACCAAAATTTCACGTTAAATATCGCGATCGCGTTTATAACATACAAAGTTTCTTAGGTGTTCATCCAGGGGGAAAAAATACGCTCATGCGTTTCAAGGATCAAATCTTAGATGGTGAATTAGCAAAATATCCTCATTCTAAATCCGCTTACTATCTTCTCGAAGAATTTGCTGTGCAATATCAAGAGAGATATAACGAGTGCGAAGTGAGTGATATAAATATTAATAAATGAAAAATAGTCAATCGCCGTATATTCATATACGTATTGAATAAAAAATGTTCTTATTTAAAATATACTTATTTGCAAAAAAATGTTAATGTATTTATGCAAGAAAAACAAGTTTGAAGAAAAGCAATCTCTCGTGTTCCAATTTTAAACAAATTGTATATGTATATATTAGTGTTGAAAAATAGCTACAATTGTAAAAATAGCATATTACGATAGACATTACACAAACGTTAAAAATAAATGGTACTTTGTTTCATATTAAATGATTTGTTCATATCGCGTCAAGTTTATCTAAAAAGATTAGCGCACCTATATCAGTTATATAAAACATTCATCTTGACGTTTATCTCATTTTTACATCGTTTTACATTCATGACATATAAGTAAAAAAATGTACAGATAAGCTGTAAACGCAAAAGTTACGCTAATGTTTTACGTAATCATTGTTTTACGATTATATATCGTAAAGAGATTATATGGAAAAAATAGACATGCTAAACAAATAAATAAGACGTTAAGATAAAATATCATTAATTAAATGTTTCACCTCAGGACTTAATTAATTGGGATGTACCAATATTGCGGCAAGTGGGCTTTATGGGGGATCGATATTGGGAATGGGTAAACTTGCCAATAAATCGACCTATTCGATTATTTCAATCGAACATTTTAGAATTATTATCGATCACACCATGGTATACCGTACCGATTGTCTGGGTCCCCATAGTTATATATTTCATTTACATAGGATGTCTTCCAAATATTTCGACAAATATCGGTAATTTCTGTGTACATGATTTATATTTTAATTATATATTTGTAAAGTATATATAAATAGTATGTTCTTTTCAGCTGAACTGACTACACTAGTTCAAAAGTTATCTTTTTCCTTCTAATGTCGAGCAAAAAAAACAACCTCTGAACTAGTGTAATCAGTTTAGCTGAAAAGGACAGACCAATAATGAAAAGTATAGCAAGCATGAAAATTTAAACGTTTACAATGTACACAATAATTTGATATATGTGACTGCATATTTTAGTGATTACGTTGCAAAGAATTTTTTCATCATTCCTTTTGGGAATATTTATCTGGACCGTTATGGAATATTTCATACATCAAAAAGTATTTCACTTTAAACCACCGCATAATTCGAGATTACTAATTACTTTACATTTCCTATTTCATGGGAATCATCATAAGGTACGATCTAGAGCCTTAATTAATATTTTTAATATTTTTAATTAAATATGTTTTAAATATTCATTGAATGTAAAGAGCGTGCGTAAAGAAAAGCTATATCAATAGGCACCATTGGATGAACAAAGACTGATGTTACCACCGACATTCAGTTTAATGATAGCGACGATTGTTTGGCAAATTTATAAAAGCATATTTCCTGTGGCAATAGTTAATCTTGTCGCCGCTGGTACTATGACGGGTACTTACTACTTATAAATCTTCTGATATATATATATTTCATATCCATATTAATTATTTCTATAATTCAAATAGATTTATATGTATATATATAATTGCAATTTTAACTTTATTTATTTTATAGGCTATTTATGTTATGATCTAATGCATTATTACTTGCATAACGGAGCGCCGAAAGCCGAATCCTATTTGTATACGATGAAAAGAAGACACAATTACCATCACTTTGTACATCATAATCAAGGTAATAGATGGGAATTACTATTAGAGATAATATATAGGAGATTAATTATTTAATTATTTGCAGGATTTGGAGTGACCAGTGACTTGTGGGATCGATTACTTAAAACGGATTTACGTTTGCGGAAATTAGAGAAACCATTAGAATGGTAAAACAATAGTAAAAATAAAAATGTAGCAGCATTTATATTTATTGATAGATTCTTCTTTTAAAATATATTTAAAATATATTCGCATAAATAATAATTCATTATTAATATAATCACAATTGTAATTGCAATAAGTACAGATTACTCCTTGTAATAAAGCATAACTCTGTAAATTTCACCATAGTTTCAGTCCCTTAGAAATTTAAGTACGTAAGTTCTTAAGAGAGATTCAATATTTAAAAAAGTATGACAATCTAATAAAGCAAAAATATTGAGAAATTTAATCTTTTCTTTGCATTTATTTGATAATAAATCTTAAACGGCCTTGTAGAGTGATATCTTAAGTACATAATCCATGATAAACACATGGCTATAAGTCCATTTGTCTCGTTTCATGCCTAATATCACAAATATGTTCAAAGTTAACAGAAAAGTACATATTGTGCCATATATATATATATCTTACTGAGATCTCAAAGCATATCTGCATCGTGGCATATAGCCGTTATGAAATAAATTATACCTGAGTACGCACAACACACATTCACATGAGTGACTCTCATGTCCCAACCCTATAGAGATTTGTGTCCATAAAATTCCATCGCACCCTTAAATTAGCATCACTGTGCTTCCGTCTTAACAGTTTTCCTACCCATACTTAATTGTGGAAATGAACTTTTATTAGCGGGAGGGTTTAACTTGGACGACAGATATATAAATGCTTCAAATAAGCTAGATCTATCCATAACGTTCACCTCATAATGTTTAATTTTCTCTCTAGTGCACCAATTAGTCGCTTTGCTCGCAGTATTCTCTAAGTTATTCAATGCAGCGTCGGTTTTCGTTCGATTACCGATCACAATTACAATTATTTCCTTCTTATCTTTATTTTTATCAATATCTTTCTTCAAAGGAAAGAGAACATCGAGAGATTCAGGCTTACCAGTGTCGTACACTAACACATAGCCGTCAGCAAAACCAAGATAGTGTCGTGGAAGCTGCTGATTGTTTACATTACTTTGTAGAGATTCAAGTCCAGCTGTGTCGTAGAATCTAACTTTCTCCTTTGTGCCCCGATCAGTCTCAATGTTGGCGACATAAATGTCTTCGATTGTAGGATGAATTTCCTGCAATTAATTATTATAAATCTATTATATAAATCTCTGCATGGCACGAGATATACGCAAAAGAATCGCACGCAGCAACGTAACCTCTTAAGATAACGCGTACCATCTTCGCATCGATATTCCCGTATATGAGCTGTTCCAATAAAGCCGTCTTCCCAACACCTTTCATTCCGCAAACTACCACCCTCGTAGTTTTCCCCATATCTAAATCTAACGTTTAGATAACGGACTTCCTCGCGCAGAGATGACATAAAGACTGTCAACTACTTGGCCATACTTGGCTACGTCTAGACGTAACGTCAAGTGAATGCGCGTGGGAACTGCATTGCGGAATTTAACTATCACCTTCTCCCTTCTCACGTCACGGTCACGGTTGAACGCGTAAATAATTATTGCGTCCAGTACATGTATGTTTATACAATAATACGAAACCAGTTTTTTTAATACTAAGGAGAGCTCTCTGCGATTTTGCAGAAATTTTACAATATTATTGTAAAGAGAAAATTATCGCTCTCAAGTAAAAAAAAAAAATACAGTATGCAAGTCCCGCTCCCTCTTTCAAATATAAAAATATATTGTAATAAACTATATTGAGTTTTTTACAAGCAAAATATTCATGTATTTAGGCGTACATTTTTTTTTAATAAATAATTCGACTTACATTTCGACTATTTTTTTTCTTCGGTCTCGGCGTATTTGGCGCCACTTTTGTAGTTTGCACTCGCGTTATTTTTTTCGTTCGCGACGCTCGGGTTTTATCTATCACATTTAAGTTATTTATTTCAGCGAATATTCAACGACAAAGAAATCGCGGAGATGTACAATATTGAAGTATAACAAAATAATATGGCGACGCGATCGTGTCGCAGTCGATGCGATTTTTATACCAAAATTACGAGCTTTATTCGTCGCGTGATACTACTTCGACACGATGATGCGAAACTACGACCGGAAACGTACCATCACCCGCTTAGAAATCAATCGACAATGCCGAAAACTTTCGAAAATCCCGTCGAAATCGTCCTCGTAATTCTCGCGATCCGCCTCGTACATTCGCGCGCGAAAACTTTCGGCGGCTTGAGTCGCCGCTGTGACGTCACGCCAAGACCGAGAGTCTCCTTGTCCTGATTGGTCGATCAGAATTTTGTCCACCAATCGGAAACCGAGAAGCTTTGTCCTGATTGGTCAATCGATAGTGAATATATTGTCGAACACAATCTAGAATGCTGCTGCCCTCTGCTGCACTTTTTACTTGTTTGTGCTGAATGTTCGCGAGCTCGTCGTCGCCGGTCTGTCCGCGAAATTACGAGTGAGAATGTACTAATTAATGTCATTACATCGTTAATTATTGTATACGTCTAATCGCGTCGCGTGTCGCAACATCGTAATCGCGTTCGTACGCGCGAAATTGAGCTCGTCGGCCGCGAATCTCGCTCATTCAACTTCGCTTCGTTCTTCGCTCCTTGACGTGACGTGACAGCGGCGACTCGAACCGCCAAAAGTTTGCGCGCGCGAATTTGCGAGGCATATCGCAAGAATTACGCGGACGCTTTTGGCGCGAATTTCGGGAGTTTTTCGGCGTTGTTGATTGAATTCTAAGCGGGAGATTGTACATTTCCGGTAGTAATTTCGCATCATCCTGTCAAAGTAGCATCACGCGACGAATAAAGCTCGTAATTTTGGAATAAAATGTGACGCGAGTGCAAGTGTGTTTTATTGGAGCATCTTTTATGAGGAAGAAACTCGGTGGCATCGAACAACGGCGGATCAACTATATGGTAATTTATTTATTGTATATTTTATTATTACTAATATTTATTTTATTATTTATTTTTTATTATTGCTCAACATATATCAATTATTCTAAATTTCACTATATAATTTATTTCATGTATTTATAATTTACAGTTTACATAACACCACTGCTGCGCATCGTATCGGTGAGTCTCATCAATTTTTGTTTAAATTTTGATTAATAATTTTGTGAAAATCCATGTATAAGAGGAGAGAAAGAGAGAGAGAGAGAAAGAGAGACATATCGCAAACAGTATTCTTTCATTAATTTATATTTAATATTTATTTCTTATTGTATTTTTTTATATATTTTAAAATTTATAATAATTAATAATATAACTCGGTCTTTTTAAATTCTTTTTCCTTAATAACGCTTTTACATAATTAGGCGATACGATATACATTATCAATATATCTAGAGATATTAATATCATTTTTAATCTAGGCAAAAGGATAAATACATCCTGTCCGTTTTCCTGTTTAAAAAAGAAAAATATAAAAGATTTTTATTAAATATCAACATCTCATACAATTAACATTCTATTTACATTATTATTATTTGTTAATAATAATCTAGTATAAATTAACATAAATAATGAATAAATAAATAAATAAATAAATAGTGATTTTCAATGACAAATGTCACGATTGGTATATTACGATTCTTTTCTTGTAATCTCTGACTTATAATTAGAATAACGAAAATTTGTGGAAGAAGTGTATATATTGCAAGAGGCACAAAGAGCTTTCCACTCTCTTCTAAAGTCATCATGGATGTTTATAATATCTATAGGCCTATATTCTCTTCAATTCATCTTTTTTATATTTTTCACAATCTTTTTAAGCTTGCGAATTTGTATTAAATAATGCAAATAATGCGAAAAATGCTAAAAAAAACCTTATCTATAATTTTCTGCTATTGAATGAATCCAATCATCAATAATGTGCATTTGCTAAATTGCTCAGAATAATATAAATATGACAACGTACCGGTAAGTACCCGTATAGTAAAGCTGCTGTACTTATTAATTATTATATAATTTCGATATTAATAATTAATAAATTCCAAGGAACTATCTCTCTCTACTAAAATGTACATTACATTTAATGCGTACGGTTAACATCTCAGTCTGTAATAGCTATAATTTACGTATCATAGATCAAATCTCATCGACTGATTATTTAATAAGGACATTTGCGATTGACAATCCACCTGGACAATCGTATCTAGATCATATTTGATCGCATTTCGTTGCGTAAATTTTGTATCTTCTAATTTATATATTTAATATTTTGATATAAAAATTGATTAGAATTTAATCGAAAATATTATTCCATTAATTTTGAGCATTTAAAGATTTGCCTCTGAAAAGTAATTTAATTTTTATCGTGATTTTAAATGCATTTTGTTTGTAATAAATCTTTATAAGTAGAATAGATTTTTGAAGCTTTTATGCATGTAATATAAACTAATAATTTGCGCAAAGCAATCATTATATTTTGAAAATAAAATTTATAGTCCTGAGAAAACAAATTTCACCAAGTCATCATTTTTTATTTGACTCGAAAATAACAAAAAAAAATAAATAATATATAAATAAGAAATTAATATACAAATTAAATTCTTTTTGGAGGCTACAATATATATATATATATATTAAACGCGAAAGAATTATTTATGAAATTCGTAATTTATCGAGTGTAATTATATACAAATCGTCGGCGAAGAAAACCGAAATTGGAAATTTCTGCATATTCTGATAAGACTATCTTTGAGTCTGTTTCTTACTCGCCAATTTCTGTAATCGCGCTTTCAAGCCGTGAGGATTTAATTTTACTCTTACGACATCGGATTTATTTTCGAGTTTCTTACGAGCTTCCTCCATCCGTTCCTTTCGTATTCGCTGCTGTTCCTTTTTCCAGATATCCTGTAAAATGCGCTCTGTCATAATTGACTTATTTACATATTTCGCGCACGCTGCAAAGTATACCTTAAAATCCCGACAAAAACCAAGCCATAGGTTGAAAAAATCGTAAGGTTCCGCAGTCTCCAGTGTGGCGCCTTTGGGAATGAACTGATAAAATCGCATTACTGCCTTGAATTTGTTTTTAGCTTCCAGTAACTCTTCTTTTTCGTTCGCCAATTCGGTATTCGCCCTCGCCATAAACGAATCTACTTTCTCCTTGAATATCTTGGACGTAGTTGGATCCGTTTCCACGACAATGTTACACTTTTGCGCGCATACTAAAACAAATTAATTTCACTTACATTAATATTTTTAACATATTTAAATATGTTGTGCTGGACGAAATTGATATAGAAGTCGTTCGCTGCGTTTGCAAAATTTAGAATTTTATCAAAGCATACATTTTTATCGATAAATAGTTTGTATGTATAGTAAATTATTGTATGTATATTCCATAAAAAGACAAACTAAAAAGAAGACGAAGAATTTATAGATTATATCAAATAAGAAATTATATACATAAAATTTCTTATCTGATATAATCTATAAATTCTTCGTCTTCTTTTAATTTGTTTTTTTATAGACTATAATATACATACAATATTTAATATACGTACAAATTCTATTCATCGACAAAAAAAATATATAATAAAATAAAAATATATATATATACAATTTACATACGTATGAACCAAAATTACAATGCGATATTATAATATTTTGATATCTAATTCCGAGCTTTTTAAGTAAAATAACAATATTTAGCACTGCTATAAAAATTTTTAAGCAGCCTAATATTAATAATATTACTTACTCTGCAATTCTCTGTCCAATCTGTCAAGTTCTTTGGCAATATCGTCAAATTTAATCGTCGATGCAGCTTCGACATCAGCAGGCTCGGGCACGGGTAAAGCTAATGGTTCATCGAAGCTATTATGTTCTTTTTCTTGAGCCAATTTCGCATTGACAACATAGTGTAACAAAGTAACCCCGGGTACGTTGGACTTTACATCTTTCAGTTTGCCAAGAATCTCTAGACCGAAGCCATCAGCCTGACCACGCATCATGTTTCCACCGTTCATGTAATTACCCAGAGTCAGTATAATAGCTATCACTTTTCTCAAAGACTCGGACTTGACCAAAAAGTCGCAGGTGGTCCGTACGTTATTTAATTTATACGAGACCGACGATATCGCGTCTTGGAATTCCGACTGAAGCATCAAGCAGGCTATCCTTTCGGAGAAGTTTTTTATACCGGCTAAGCGCTTGAGAAATAATTCTGGTTGATCGATAGGAATATCCGGAAACTCTGCTTCATGCATAGCGATTTCTGCTATCTCCTTTTCCGTAGGTTTCTGTAAATTACAAAACATAAGTTTTTTTCAAAGTAAACGTTTATAAATTTATAGCAGAAATTGATTGCATTTAGAAAAATAAAAGAAACTCAATTATACGTGCTAAAATATTTAGATTTTTAATTCGTATTGTTTACTCACGATTTCGTAGATCTGCTGCAGCGTCTCCAAACTGATGACACTCGTGTCTAAATTATAAGCCGCGTTCTCTATCTCGCTAAAATCAATGTGTAGACTCTTCTCAAGAATTCCCACCATCTTCGAACGTTTCGGATCCAATATTTTCGCTGGTTGGATCTTGGTTGGACCTTTATTGGAAGTGTCCTCGGTCCTCTTGGTCGGATTCTTCTGCCTCACCTGTCGTGAAAATAAATCGGCGAATTCTTTCATGTTTATGCTCTCTTCCTCCGCAAGTTCTAGCCACAAAGGTACCTAGAAGAGACAACATAAAAACAATCATGCATTATTAAAGAAATCATTATATCAACAATTAATTTTATCCTTATAATCTTTTATTTACCTGAGTTGGCGATTCTGCAGTAGCGGAACTTTGACTAGTCGCAGTAACTGGCACTATAATTCTCGTCCAATAAAGTGGCTTCATAGGCACATCAGGATTTAAAGGTTGTTTTCTCATAACTAGAAAGGTAAAACACTGTGTTACACGGTGCAAATACCGGAATCCCGCGGTAATAGAACTGTACAGCGTACTCTCGATTATTTCGAGACAACGAGAAGAATCGAGAGTACTCTGTACTTTTGTTAATTTTGATACCTACTAGCTCTGCTAGGCGGATTCCACCCTCCGACCGGTGGAGCGGGTAAAGGACAAGGGCTTTCCCCGGAAGTGACGAGGGTGCCATAGGTGGTGGCGGTGGTGGGCCTGCACCTGATCCTCCGAATGGAGGCGGAGGTGGGGGTGGTATACCGTCCAACATCGGCATCCCCGGTGGTGGCGGTGGAGGTGGTGGACCATCTGCGGAACTCTGCGCTCCAGGTAATGGTGGCGGTGGTGGCGGTGGCGGTATCAGTCCATCAATAATCGACCCGAGCGAAGGTGGTGGAAGAGGCGGCGGCGGTGGTGCTCCGCACATGTTCAACATCGGCGTAGGCGGTGGCGGTGGTGGCGGAGGTATCCCGCTCATGGTGCTCTTCATGGTCGCAATTTCGCACGTGACACCCTGAGGAGGCATAGGTGGTGGCGGTGGTGGTGGAAGAGGTATATCACTCTCGATTCTATGCACCGACATGGACGGAGGCGCGGGTGGAGGTGGTGGTGGTGGCACCGCGTTTTGCAGAGGTGACGGCGGAGGTATCGAATTTATGATACTTTGCACAGGCGGTGGCGGAGGAGGAGGTATCGTGCTCGTCGTACTCGACATCGGCGTAGGCGGTGGCGGAGGCGGCGGTGGTGGCGCGGGTGGAAATGTACTCATGATACTTTGCGTTGGCATCGGCGGAGGTGGCGGTGATGGTATCCTCGAAATATCCGTCAGTTTCGTCACCGATGACGAAACCGTTCTTTCGCTAGCTCGCGCCGATTCGGTGCTCGCCGCGAGGACGTATGGAGAAGGCGGCGGCGGAGGTGGTGGGATGAAGGACTGCAACGACGTTGTTGAGATAGATGTAGCTCTGCTCTTGGAGAATGACTCCGGTAGGGGTGGAGGTGGTGATGGTGTCGCATAGTCTTCGTTTGACACGTTTATCTGATACGATAAGAACGATGGATTCGCGACCTTGTCGATTGATGCGGGCGAAAACGCGCGTGTCATCTTGATTTCCTCAGGATCTGTAACGAGATCATTTCTGATCGATGAGTCTCTGCCGAAGTTGTTTGTTTCTTCGGCACTTCCATCGAGAGGTGACGAGCTTCTCGGTGATGTTTGAGTAGACTGGCCTTTACTACTTGTCTGTCGGTTTATAGATATCTCGCGCAGTCGTTTGATCTCATCTCTCAGTTTCTTCACCTCTTCCTCGTATCCATGTATATCTTCAGGCATGGAATGTTCACCGTATGTTTGGATCGATTTACTTGGAGCTGAGAGAAATTCATCCGCCTGCACGCAGGTGTCTGTCCGATCTGTCTGATTAAAACAGAGCGTTATGAAAATAAATAATCACGATCGACACATCAATCATTATCGACTTAATAAATAAATCAAGATTTTACCACGGTCGTTTTCTTCACACTTTTGCCTGGTAACGCGGAGATCTTAGAAGTTGGTAGGTCTTGTTCTGAAAAATCCATTAATAATACGTAATTAGTATAAAAATAGATTTCTATCTTATTAAACTTATAAGAAAATTGAATCAAATTGTATCTGATATGCTCTCTTCACATCGTTTGGCAAGCTATAAACCATTTCCGAATAAGCAACTGTTCTATTTTAATTTAAGCTTTATATTAGCAGCATTAACGGCACTTCTACCTCTATAAACATACAATCAATCCTAATTAAAGATGCATGTTTTACGAACAAAGCAACTCTTTATCATCGCGTAGCTCTTATCTCGTTTTATCACTCAACATACAAGAAATTCTTCTAGATGTATATCTTATCTCTTAATCATTTTCATCATTAATGAGATTATTAACAGAATATATAAATAAAAAATAAATATAAATATTTAAATAAAAATATGTGAAATATGTATCTAAAATTCTAAGTGTTTCTGCAATCATTACTGGAATAGCAACTTTACAGATGAAAAAAAATCTACTTTTCGAATAAGATTTGAATTGTTAACGTCATGTACACTCTTCCTTGATTACGATTAAAAATAATGTGATATTTTAACTCGATTTCTCTTCGTTGCAAACACGTTTCGGATACACGTATAACACTCGTTTTTTTTTGTAATCACTTTTTTTATTCCGTGTGTACACATCTGCTATTAGACACCTCGCGCTTGTCCCGAAGATGTATTTCTCTTCTGCTCCGAAAAGGAACTGCCACATCTCGTTGACGAACGATACGGGAGAGCACGATCGCAAATCCGAGGCTAACCCCGCATACGCCCCATCGATAAGACTTATCGGCAAACACGCACATTTGATTTATACATATCGTTCGCTTTAACCTCGGTCACGCGTGATACGGATTATTTGGTGACCGGTAAAAAAAATATTTCCCATCGCGATAGTGCCGATGAAAGGCGGCGATTGTCTTGTCGGCGCATTAACCGATCATAATCGCTATCTACTGATGATGTTACGATACCTCGCGATTTGTTGAGCGTAAATTACGTAATTCTAATAGAGGAAAAAGAAACGAAATGCCGTGTGTTTACCCTCCGTCACGTTATCTTGTACCTTTTCTTCCGTCATGAGATAAGATTCGCGATATCGTACTGGCGCGAAGATAGATTCTAGGCCGTGCGCTGACCCACGTCTAGTTATAAAAACGTTTTATATCGCAGCGAAACCGTCATTATGCCCTAGATTCGCGAGGAGTAGAGTCAGAAAAATAATTCAGACCTTGGAAAAATTTTTCGTAAAATCTTGTTAGTATCTCGTTTGAAAAGATTGCCGAAATTGCAAACAAATTTCAACCGTTTATATTTTCTAATTGTGTCCTCTCACCTTTAAATTGTTTATAATCCGTCTTCTGAATAATATTCTTGCGACTTTTCTTCTTCTTGGCGCTATTACGATCCAGGGTCAAGCTGGCCACTCTTCTCAACACCGTACTTTCGTTTATCGATGATTCGCAGACACTGTGTCGTCTCTGTAGCGTGCTGACATTAATTTCTGGAGTCGTGCTCTTCTCGCTCGACGTCACACCTGAAAGTGATAGGCCCATTTGAGACATCAAGTGTCAGAGACACATGCTATGTTGACTTAGGTCCAATACATTAGGCGTCCTCTAAGCTCTTCTTAAACAATATTACTTATACAAACTTATATAATTGTATTTCAACGTAAGTTTACTCACACAGAGTCTTCAAACTTTGCTTAAGCCGTTAACTTATTTAACTTTTTAAAAGCTGATTAATCACTCGGTAAAATTGTGTAAGAAGATGAGTAACGCATGTGTTAAATTACAAACTTAATAATACAAATGTTCCTCACTTATTCGGGGACTCATCACCGACAAATTGATCTTCTTGTATCTCGAGATCGCAAACGGAATCTTCTTCTCCTCCTTGCTGTCGATCGACTTCCTTGGGGTCGACTCAAGGCCCAATTTCATCACTTGCGCCTCGGTGGATATAATCGGACTCGTGGTGAGCTCCCCAGGATCGGTGAAGACACTGTCGCTCGAGGAATCCTGGCTGGGCGGTGTCGGCATTTCCGTAACAACTAGACCCTTGTTTGCCAAGCGCCAGGAATCGGTTACTAACAATGGTGGTAGCTGGGTCGTCGGAGTCTGCGGTGTTGTCATCGTCGTCGTCGTCGTCGTCGGCGTTGTCGGCGTCGTGACACTTGGGCGGGAAGACTCCGTCGTTGTTACGCATGGTTTCGACGTTATTGCGGTATCCTTGCGACATTCGGGCTCTACGCTTTTCTGCGTGTCCTAATTACAAGACAATTTTATATTATATACATACATCGTGATTTGAGATAAAAATAAGCATGTAACGTTGTGGAAATTTGTTTCTCTTTAATTCAAGATCGGTAATCAGTTTTCCATTTTGCTTTTTCATAATTAGACGAATTATATATTCATTTTATTTTACTTAACATGTGTTTCTCATTTTTCAACATACACACAGTCTTAAATTACGCATCGCGGAAAAGATTTTCCCTCCAATCGATAGTTGCGTTGGATTTGACTTAAAACGTGAAAAGGAAAGGAAAATGGTACCTTGGGTAACACGATTCTCGGTGGCTGCGGTGCCTGCCTCTTGGTGTGACCCGGTGTCTGCACCTTCTCGAAGCTGATCTTGATCGGTTCGCGCGGCTCGTCGCACCCATCGGGACTCTTGGGTGGTTGGTCCCGCTTATCCTTACTCTGGTCCTCGACAGTCTCGAGCTCCCCCGTGGACGCGGACGTCGGCACCGGTGCAATGTCTCGCTTCTTCTGCTTCTTCTTGCCGTCGCTTTGCAAATTGCCCATCGCCTCGGGAATTTGCACGCCTACGTCTAAGTTGCCCCAGTAGAGCAGCCGGATGTTGTCGACCCAGAGGTGGAAGAAGTCGGACAGCTTTGATCGCGGCGGCCGCGCCTGGGCCGCGGCTGCGCCTTGACCATGGCGGGCGTGCATCCGTGGTCGATAATCGAGAGCTGCGGTATCCGCGATCACGGCGTCGTCGTCGCCTCGACGAGCGCCGGCCGCTGCGAAAGCAAACACGGAGTCGAGTCACCACCTCGTGAGCTCGTCATCCGGATTAATTCGAGACGACTAGGAATGCATTCCCGTATTTTCATCCATTCGCGCATCGACATTACAATTCGGAGCACTCTGATTAACTCAATTATACGTGCGGTTATCGCGCCGCGGATAGAGTCGTCTTCATTAATATTGGAGCTGTTTTTTTAATTAATTTTATTAATTAGCGAAACAGAAAAACGAGAGTTTGACTATGGTGTGTAATTGGTTCGCGATAATTAATCCAGATTATTTAAATTTATTGGTAAACGTGACAATTTAATTGTGTTGACATTAATATGAGCGGATGCGATGTTTGCGTTAAAATTAATTAAAATTCAAAATTAGACTATCGTATCTGACGTTGAATAAGTGGATTTTAAATCGTTATTTAAACTGTATTCGCGAAAGAATATAAAGAAGAGAAAATATGATGAATGAATACCAACTGAATTTAATGGACTGTGAATTACCTTGATAACTGATTAACTCGATACTTCTTGGATATCGTTTCGTAATCGGATATTGACAGCTCTAATATTAATAACCTTATGTCATATGATAACTAAACGATACGACGTGCTGTCGTCTGCATACTGAACATTTTTATATAGGGAACATCGATTTATTATTACTAGGACACGTTGGTGTCATTGGCAACTATTATTATCTTGCACTCAAGGCTAGTGTGACTTTTCCATGGAAGTAACAAAATATATAATAAAAGTGAAAAGTTTTACACGTTGAAATCTCGCGCAATAATTTCCTTCTTGATTAAAGACAATAAATTTCGATTGCATTCTTAAAATTAATATAATATTTAAAATAATTAAAAATGAAAGATGTAAAATTTATAATTGTGTAACATATTCATCGACGAAATTAAATATTTAAAAGCGAATATAAGCACTTTGAACATGCTTCTATACCAAACAAACAAAATACATTGCTTATGTTTCGATACGTACAAACATGATGCATAGATAATGTTTCGACTACAAAACACGACTGAATGCCAGATATAACATTAATAACAAGCGTGAAAAACGAGAACTCACGGATGATACATGAAACAAATTTTTAACACAACGCGATAATATATCAAAAATGCTTCGCAAAACATTATGCACGATTTATTAGCGTTCGGATTACCATTAATATAATATCGGTTTTTCTTTCCTAAGGTATTTATCATGATTACAACAAACAATGATACTGTTGCATATTCCTCTCAGTTGTTACTGTATATCTTCAAATTACACTTGTCTTTTATACATCGAATCGCATATTATTGACACTCCGAATGTAAACGAATAACAGAGTATATTGACACAATTTTCTTTTTCACGTAGGATAATATTTTTTACCGTAAATGTGTTTAAAATGCCGATTATGAGTTATGCGATCGGGAATTCAGAACAGTCGGAACGATATTTAATGCACCACGTGGTGTGACGTCCGTCACGCGACTAGAACGCCGGTGCCTGTTACCTTTATTATACATACATCGGAAAATCAATCTTGAGGGATACCTCAAGGGCAAGAAATAATACAAGCGTTCCTCGACATAGTAAATTCATGAACAATTGCTGTTCAAAGTTTTCAGTAAATCGCGACGAATTACAAATTAGTCAACTTCGATCAATTAATTAGAAACAGAAATTTTTGAATGTCCTATTATTAAAACATTTCTCGTTTCAATATTTATTACATAATTTGCTATAAAAAATTTTTAATTTGACATTTATCAGAGCAAAATCTAAGGATTTGATAGAATAGTTAAGTAATAAATTATTTAATTAAAGAGAAAGATACTTAAACACAGTTTTTTATCTCTTATAACATACAATAGGTACCTATATTCAAGAAATATTCGCGATTTGAGAACGCGAGAAGACTCGACGTAACACATTAGCTATGTAACATTATTACGATCATAATGAATTAGAATCACCGTCAGAATCTCGAAGAGATTACATGTACGTTACATGTTCAGTAGGATCATGCGCTTCGCGGAGCCTGCTATTTCGTAACGTAAATATACGCCGAAAACGTGCCATGTAATTGACGTGATGTAGAAGAGCGTTGCTCCCCTCGTGAGGGTATTACGCTCCCTTACCTGATTCTCTCGCATTTCGACAGCACCGCCAACATATTACACGTTACATCGTGCGGTTCACGCGTGCCACTGAAAACTCGCATCTCGTCTATTATCGATTGTTCCCGGCGATATAACCGTCCGCGCATTTTTCATCAGTCGTTCGCGTCACGAGCGTAAAATATCACCTCGGTTTCTGCGAGGAAAACACGAATATCGTACACGGTAAAAAGCCTTCGAGCGTTTTATTGAACACGTATAGGTGGGAGGCAGCTGCCCGAACAGCGCAAACTCGCGCCATCGAGCCCTCCTAGGTCGATGTCTCGATGTCGAGGTCGACAAAGCTACGATCGCCTCTCGATAGTTTGCTCTCATGGTGATATAAATTGCACGCGGGATTCTGGGATCCAAGTTTCCATAAATCTCGACTGTTCGCCACCGATTTTTCTGGAGAACCCGCCTCGGGTCCTCCAGACGTCGATGCTGCAAATATGTATATACATATATATTACAAAGATTATTTTTAAAAATTCACAAATTGACAAATACTTATATATTAATAATCGAAAACAAAATTTAAAAAATTGTTTTATTATATATAATGGCAAATTATTATACTATATTATTATATAATATTTAGCAAGGGAAATAAAAACAAGCGAGATCGTCGCTTCATCGTTTATTTTTATATTGCAACATAAAATTTGTACAAATAATAATTCATTATAATATCGTAACTATAATGGATAATAATTAATATACGAATTTTTTTTCGTGGATGTGTGTGCAACGCGTGCACGCACACGTGCGCGCGCGCGGGAGCGACGTACACGCGCTATTAATTAATTAATTAATATTGCGAGCGGCCACGCACACGCAAGCATGCGCGGCACGCGGTGCGTTATCGGATCGTCGCGCGAGAACTCGGCGATTTTTCGCGAAAAAAAAAAAAAGATCCATTTTTCGGCGAAAAGCCCGACGAAATCCTCGCGCTTGGGGGGATCCAATATTCTATCCTAGCATCCGACGCTCGTAGGCATTCGCTTCCGCTCGAGATTCCTTCGCGACACATGCGTTTTACATATATTCGTAGAGTGATGGACGACTTTTAGTGAGATAAACCGGTCCGTGACTCTCGTTTAAACACACACACGCATACGCGCACTCACGCACACATACAGAAGGAGAAGGGGGAGGACTGTGTTATTTGATGGTTTAGAGAAACGTACATTCTCGTATTTACATCTACTTCGGCGAGCGACGTTATTCTACAACTTATTAGAGCTGCTCGTCTTTGTTACAATTATTTTCCTCTTATATAACATAACATTTTCCTTTTTTTTCCCATAACATACATTACCCGTACACTCACACATGCACATACATATGTATTTTTCTCTCTCGTTTTATATCTTTCTCTTCGCTATGTATTATGTACAAAACCGCAGCGTAATTCTCATTCTCTTCGCGCGTAAGGTAGCGAAAATCGATCGAACACGGTCTTGTTGGCGTTCTTTGAATTTATTAACCCTATATAGTATATACGCGTGTTTAACGTACATGTATCCTCTACGATTTCGTTGTGTGCAAAAATATGTCGACTACATTTTCTCCGTTCTTTTCCCGTTCGCCCTGTGTTCCCGCCTCCACATTTAGCTCTCTGCGCGACCCGCCTTTCTTTCCTCGTATATATCGCGGGGCTAGAATTTACGTTATCTGACTCGGGAATACAACTGTACAAGGGTGCATTCGTGTCCCTTAAGTAATTGTGCCGGTAAAACTCCCTCCGTTGATTCCGAATATCGGCGGCTTCAAGACGCAGTAATAACATGTATAACGTTCGTAACGTTAACGCTCGACTTTCGCTCTATGAAAGACATGGAAGTAGGAGATTCTAATACATCGGTTTTCGTACATCGGTCATCGATGAATTACCTTGCGCCAAAGAGGCAGCGCGCTTAGTATCATCGATAGAGAATGTAATATAGTGCAAGGGTATAAAAGGAGAAATATAAGTCTAATAAATAAGAGACACGATATAATGAATACGCGATCGAATCAGATAAACCGAGAATATGCGAAAGATGAAGTAGAGAAAGGAGGTGGAATATTAATAAAATGCGATTCGATGTAAAAGACCGAGAACGTACAAGAGATAAAATATTTTTGCATATAAAACGGAAAATATTTCAATATTGGACACCGTATTAGCGTTAGTAAAACGAATTTGCGTTCGTAAAAGATGCATCAGAGAGAAAGAGAGGAAATGAAAAAAATAATAGTTCGCCCTGTTGGGGCGAACAGTAAATAACTCGAGACCGACGTTATGCTTGGTAAAATACAATCCTATTTCATATTAGCGAAGTAATCAGCGAAGAAGATTATTACGTCCAACAAGACTCGTTACGATCGCGTTGTGTACGTGCAACACGACATCGTTTCGGTGGAATACTTATTTTGTTAGAGTATTTGCGTTCTCTCTTAATTGCGCCTATGTAACGTCGTGGTACACAAGACTAATGGCCACGCACAGATCCGCGTGCAATCGCAACGGTCAAGATGCGATCGTCCGATCACGATGTCTCCGAAGATTTGCATTACGAGCAAATGAGATCAACAAATGATGTGCGAACGAACGCGCGGTCCAGCGTTTTTCACTCGTTTCCTGCTCCCGCGGACATGAAAATATGTGCAAAACAAAACGGCGGTATTAGATTATTATTTTAATTAGTAAAGAGATGATGTAGAGCAATCGAGGTTATTTTTTTCGTCTCAGGATGAAAATTTGTCATCCAAACGGATACTTTACGATTTATTACTAAAGTAGTATTGCTCGAGTGTTCGTAAAACTGTGACGCTGAACGGATGTGTATGTAGCATCGCAATCTAGTTTCTCTTACTCTATATCCTGTTATATTTTCACGTTTGTCGCGAGCGAAGAAAGACGACACTTTACCGGCGTCCGATCGACAATACAAAAATAAAAAAAATAAAAAATAAAAAAAAATGAAAAATTGGAGAGAAAAGAGGGAGTAAAATTCAACAAAAAAGCTGCGTACGTAATCTCTACACGTCGCATATAACTATAAAACGGAGTGACGCGTAGAATATTCGCACGTAAAAAAAAAAAAAGAGGAGTCTCTATACATTTATATCTACCGTTAGTCCGAAATATATTCAGGCTGAAACAGCGAAGTTCGTTGTCGCTTTCGTTTTATTTTTATTTTTTTCGGGCTCCTCCCAAGTTTCATCTGTCGTCTCTCGTGACTGCGAAGCGGCGAATACGATTACAAACTTGTGTATCGCATCTAACAATATCGCAGACTCTTTCAACATTGTTAAGTACCTTAGGAAACTTACTTAGAAATATTTACAACTGCGTGTGATGAATATTCAATGTCGCCGTCGCTTTCCCGTGCAATGCAATAGTCGAAAAGACATCTGAAAGACAACTCCGTCTTTTAGACGTCTTTTAGACACTCGGACTGTCCGAGCTCCGTCACGAGGGCGGATGACGTTTGAGAAGTTATCGTCGCGCTCATTTCAGCCCGACAATCGTCTCGATCAAAAACTGCTCTCCGCGAAAAAAGAATACATCTCTTACTTACATAAACACTATCCATAAACTCTAGCACATACTTACAAAGCCGATGACGTTAATCGCCTCGGTTGATATACATCATATATATATTTTAGATCGCGAGAAACTGCGATCGCATGTCATCCGAAGATACGGCGTCACCCATAGTCATATATAAAAGTATAAAATGCATTGAACGCCATATATCGTCACCGTAATCGTACAATTTTTGCGCGCCATTGGTTCGAGAGACTTCAACGACCTGTCCCTCTGTCATTCTTGAAATATCTTCCCGTTTATACGTACAACATCCTTTCTCACGTGAGCGGCCGGAAATTGAAGTGTCCTAGTATTTTAACACCATAACACTTGAAGTACGCTTACAAACACAGTTTCGACGAAGAGTATCGCACGTCTCCTACATAAATTCGCCCGATAGAAGGAAACGCAATTACGCGGAAAAGACGAATAAATGCAATGAAATCACACGAGCATAGTCATCATCACATTAGTCAAAGTTAACAGAGTAACATTACGATAAATGCATAGAAAAATTTCGTTGTTGCTCGAGTATCCAGCTTGATTGAATATATTAACAATAATTAAACGCATTGAATCCGGAATGGCAGTTATCTCAAAACAGCATATTGTTAAATATTAATATACGTGCCGGATTCAAAGTGTTAATAATAATAATATTCAATCAGTCTCAGAACGGCTTAAGATTAGACAAGGCTGAATGTTATGTACGTATTTATATGATAAACATTTGATTTCTCCAAAGATTTCTTCAAAATAACGCGATCAATAATGTTCAACAAAAATTTACATACATAAATTTCAAATAATAAAATTTACAAAAAATTTGTTTTAATTATATAAACTTACTAATTAAAGTTGATAAACAAGAAAGAGCAACGTTTCGCTAAAGATACACTGCCCTTGTGTCGACATAGATAAATTCTCTTAGGAGACCGTATCATTTGATATCTGTTCATTCCCGGCACACACGCATACTGATATCACTGTCTGTAATTATTGCATTCGATTTAAACATCACCTTCACAATTGTTCCGACAGAATAATCACTCTAAGCGTCTGAACACTATCGTTGTCGAGAAGTTTGTTGGACCCTTTGAACGAAACTTCGTCCTCTTCGAGACTCTCGACGGTCGTATGCTCGCATCCTTCCGCCTCGGCTCTCTCCTCTCCCGGTGGATCGTCCTCTTGTTTCGCGCTTCCTTTCGCGAATAGCGACTCGCGACGCGTTTCGCTCGTACCGACCGTTGACTCTTCCATGACATTTGATTGAGCTAGATCGTTGTTATCCTTGGAACATCCTACTTGCGATCGTTCTCGCGTAATCGAACAACTCTCCGACGAATTGGCGAGTTTCCTGGAAGCGGAAGTATACTTTGCGGCACATTCTGGAGACTTCTGAGTACGCGATCGAGCCGAGTCCGCGCCACGGCCTGTCAGCGGAGATGTCCTTGAAGGGTCGTTCCGAAAAGGAAGTCGCAAAGAAGGATTGGGTGAGAACGGCAAGTGTGATAGCCTCTCCGTGGCTTTGGAAGCGTCGAATTGAGTTCGCGGACTTCCGGTTAGCGCTTTGATATTCATAGAATGGCCCTTCGTGTCGACTTCGTCCGGGCAGGCTTGTCCCTCCAAGGAAGACGGGCGTTCCAGTAGACAACCTCCCTCGAATACGTGAGGATTCACGTCAGCATCCACTTTTAACGTTTCTCCTTGTGGCAAAGCCGCGGCCTCATCGAGCGTCGTCGTTGTACTGCCATTGTAGTGCTCTTCCAGCTGATCAGCTTCAGGAACCGCTTCTAACAGTCCCGAACGATCGACTCGTAATGGCACAGTTCGTGCGGCGACGTCCTCCGCACCAGTGAGCACGCAAGGACGCGGACATGTCACAGGATCCGTCTCCGCGATCTCCAGTAGTCCAGACTTATCAATCCGTCGGACTGTCACCGGCGCTGGCACGCCGTCCAGATCGCCATATGACGTCAGTCCGTGTCGATTTCTCGCGTAGTAATCTTCCGCGGGCAACAACGATGGACCACGTCCTAAACCTACATCGTAAGCCGCACGTTGCGGAAAATGCGGTGGACGTATCGGAAGACCCATTTGCGATGTCGTTGTTGCCGTGGCCGACGTCGCGATTGACGGTGCGGCGGGTGTCCTCGCAGACGGCGACACGGAAGGATTCTCGAGGACTATCTCCATACGATGACGATGTCGATGGCGATGATAGAGATGCGGATGCTGCTGCGTCACCGTATGACAGGGGGCCTGCTGCTATAGCCAGGTAGTACGCGTGTTTCCGGCTCGTGAGCCGGTAGGCAGGTCTCAAACGATTATCTCCCTAATGATTCTACGTCTGTTCGGCGTGGAGTAGCCCGATTCCAGACTCTCGTCGTACGATAAACTGACTTGTTGCGGCGGTTTTGTATCTTCGTCGTAATTCTCCTGATATGGCAATCCCGACACATCGTAAGGTGAATCTGTCGAAAATGAAGCAACGATTAATATGAAAACGAGCGGAATTGCAAGGCTGCGGAAGTCGGTGGTAAGGGTCGATGGAAGGAGAGGGGAAGCGGAAGGGCTCGAAACAAGCCTCTTCAAGAATGGAGAAGGTATCGCCGAACAATGTACTGTAGCCGCGGAAGATCGATGTAACGTACGATATAATCTATAACGCTGCAGCCCGACACGCACGCCGGTAATATAGGGACTGTCATTAGAAGCTAACGCCGGACGAGGGAAGTCACGAGAAACGATCGTAAGGCTAATACTGACCAACGTGTTTCTGAGACTTGACGACGGTGGCAAAGGGCTCCGCACAGAACTGCTGTCGGCTCAGATTATGGCTCTCCCTGTAATTCTCCCGTTGCGGTAGATAATGAGGATGCGTGGGGTAATCGGATTCCGTAGTGCCATATCCGGCAAGATCGTAGGGCTGATTAACGCCATTTGCCGCCGCGGACTTCATCTGCCATATGGAATCCTGCGAGTTCACGGAACCACCGTTGTTGGAATTCGAGTAACTATTATCCATGTAGCCCATATTCACGCCTGTGAAAAATCGAAAAAAGATCATATAACGTAAAGGTATATTTTCCGAAAGTTTTTATCAAGATATATAACACGCGCGCGCGACGCAATCGAAGAGAAAAATTCTTTTTATTTTTTATACATGTACGACGTTTACCGTTGATGTTATGATTAGGTTGATGATAACCATATCCCGACTGCGAGTAAGCGGGAGTCTTCGAATCTTCCAGAGCTAAGGCATGATCCAAGCTGTGCTCCAGAGCTTTATTCTCGGCATAGTAGGGTGGCGGTGGTTGTGTTTGTTGGCCATTACCTGCCACGAGACTCGGGCGAACGCTGGAAAAATAAAGAACAGATGAGCTGCCTTCTTTTATTCAAGTCATGTGCGAAACAACACGTCGTTTAGCTTATACGTCTAGCATTTTTCGTTCATAGCGAGAGGTAGCTTCGTGCGAGATGAAAACTTACGCGTTCGAGTCCATTTCGTAATCTTTCGCCTTCGTCGCGTGTTTTCGTCGGCACCGGCAGAACAGCAGTAACAATGCTGCAAAGAGTATAAAAACTGCTCCGCTCACTATCAGTGCGATTAAAGTTGGCGTTGCGAGTGCACCGGATTGCGCGATGTAGGATGGTCCAACTGCGAAAAGGAATAAGAAAATTGCTTCAATTCAGGAAAGTCGTTGGCAAACGTACCATCGCTAAAATTAACTTGTGCCAAATTACCTAAAATATCACATTATTTTAAAATGTCAGCAAATAAATAGTTAATGGAGGATATTCATTAAGAATAAATTAATTAAAATCTAATTTTTTAATTTTTTTAACTCTAAGATAATAAAATCTAATTTCGCAACCGCACAAAGCATATAAGATTAGTTTGAATTGATTATATAGATTATATAATTCTGTAATTCTATAATCACATTACTTTTGAAAATTAAACTTACTTTCGGCTTCCGCGTACTCGCCACACTTCTGTCGATCCGCTTTGAGGCAGAGTCTAACTCTGAGACGAGGTTCCGAATCTGCTGCTTCGGGATCGTCCAATATTCCCTCCCTTTGAGTGGGCGCAGCCCCGAGAACTTCGAGAGGCCACTCGTCGACGATTCTCCACGAACTATCAGAGCCTCCGTCGAACTTCTCGATAGACGCCACCAATGCCAGGCACGTGGCACCTACGTTAATAGCGAGTGTGCCGCTCTCAGGATCGAAACTCACTCGTAGCGGCGTAGGTATCTTCGCCACCGCCGTAGTGGCGGACACTTCATCGGAATAATCGGAATGATTTTTAGTATTGTAGACCTTCACCTTGAAGGTGTAAGTCTGATGTTGCTCCAGATTGCTCACGTTACACGGATTCGATCGTCGACAATCGAGCTCGAGCCACTGACCGGCCGGTCCACGAGGAGGCGCGCAATCCGGCGCAACTATCTCATCACCACCGGCCACTCTTCTGTACGAAACAAAATACTTGGTGATAGGAAGGCCACCGTCGAAACCCAGTTGCCATAAAAGAGCAACGTATGTAGGTCCGATTTCCATGGCAGTGATGTTAGTCGGTCTTTCCGGCGCACCCTTTGGCTGCAATCTGATGGTAGACGTGACGCTACCTTGAGCATTGGCAGCGCGACAGGTATAATCGCCGTAATCAGATTCGCGGATATTGGTCATTCTCAGGACGGATGTGTACGCGTCGTAGTTGTCGCTCGTGGTGGTAATCTCGTAATGACCGTCGCTGGACGAACCCTGAAGAGTCGCGGCGTTGGTACCGAAGCTCCACTGGAACTCGGGCTTTGGCCACGCTTGGACCTTGCAGGCCACCTCGGCGGTCTCCCGAAGATTGTAGGCCACCTTGCCGTGTTGATGGAGTACTATCGGCTCGTGCTCCACCTTGAGCATCATCGTGGACTCGACTTTCTTCACTTCGTTCATGAAGACGCAGGTGTACTTGCCGCGATCGCCCGCCACGATTTCGTCGGTCTGCGGACGAGCGTGACCCAAAAAGCTCAACGTGGAATTTACGGTTATTACGCTACCGTGGCCCTCCGACGCCGTCGTAATTACTTTGTAGAGCCTCTCGTCGGCCGTTAATTCTTGATCGTCCTTCAGCCAGCGCACGCTAGGTCGCGGCTTGCCCTGCGATACGCAGGATACTTGAAACGACGACTCGCCGACTCTGCGATAAGCAAGAAGACGTTACATTATTAGAACGGAACATATATCTTGTTCTACCCGCAAAGAGCTATTTCATTCCCCGAGTGGCGTATACCTCACAGAAGAAAAGCGCAGAAGAAAGCAAACGTAAAGTCCGTAGACTTCTATAATTACACGACCGTATTTTAGAACAACCGGAGAATTAGAGGATCAAACAGTTGAAGAAGCTCATACGAGCTTGCAAAAAAATTTATTATACTTGCAGATATAATAATCATATTATTTTCCATCGTGCCGAGTACAGATTTAAACGTCTAAAATGCGATATAAATATACGTTATCTCTAAAAAATATTGATTTGAACAAAAAACAGTTTTCCGATAAGTCTGATAAGAAAAGAAACTACAATATTTAGAAATAACTGTCATTTTTTAGAAATAGAAATTTGTGCATTATTACTTACTTTCTCGTGACATGAGGTTGTAGTTTAGTGAGTATCTTCGGCGGCTGATGAACAGTTAGATTCACCGATGCAGCTTCGCCAATGCCGATCTCGTTGATCGCGTGGCATTTGTAAGTGCCCTCGCTGCCGAGGTGCACCGAGTCGATCTCGTACTTCGGACCAGACGGGGTCGGCATCAGGATCGTGCCGCCTTCGCCCTCCTTCCACCACTTGTACTGCGGCTCAGGATAGCCGGCCGGACTGGCCATGCACGTGAGTATCACCCGGGAGCCCTCGACGGCGACCGGTGAATCCGGAGTCACTCTCGCCGGACCGGGCTTGTGTCGCACTCGAATGGTGACGGTGGAATGTGCCGAATGATTCCTGCGTTCGCCACCGGTGGGATGGATCGTGTTCACCGCGCGACACGTGTAATTACCGGCATGCTCCGCCGTGACCCGGGTCAATCGCAAAATCGGGCCCGACTGTCTGAATTCCGGCCGACCGTCTCGCAGCCACTCGATCACCGACGGAAACGGATTGCCGGACACGTTGCAGTGTACGGTCACGGTGTCCTCTACGTCGGCCACTCGGAAAGTATCTCCCTCGATCGTCACCGTGGGTGGATAGAGTACGTCCAGAACCAGGGAGGCGTCGGTGCGCTTACCGAGTCCGTTGTCCGCCTGACAGGTGTACGTGCCAACATCCTGCAGCGTCACCTTAGGTATCACGTGCTTGAAATTGGTGGCGATAAAACTGCCATCCCGCCACCAGCGGACCATGCCGACCATCGGCTTCGAGTCCACGTGGCATTTGAGAGTCGCGGTCCCGTTCACCTCGACCTTGAGCGGGTTCTCCGGGCCGATAGTCACGCGCGGGAAGTAGTTGACGTCTAGCGTCACCGAGGCATCCAAGGTTTCGCCTTCGCGCATCGCCCGATTTCTCACGACGCACCGGAAGATCGCGCGGTCGTCCTCTCGCGTGGGTTCCACCATCAGGGTTTTACCGGTGTGCAGCGGTATAGTGCTGTTGCCGCGGTACCATCTCACTTCCGGTTCGGGACTGCCACCGTAAGTGTTGCACTGAAGCTCGAGTCGCTGACCCTCCGTAGCTGGTGCGGAAGTAGGCGATATCGACGGCGGACCAGGTGCCCTCAGTACCGTCAGGGTGATGTACTTTCTATGAAGATCGGTCCCGGTGCTGCTGACCTTCACCCTGCACTCGTATTTGCCGTTGTCGCGCTCGTAGGACACGTTCCTGATCTGCAGATCGTAACGGCCCTCCTCCAGGTTCATGAACACTTTGTAGTTCGGCGACAACGAGCGATTCTCGATCGCCGCGTTGTCGAGATTGTTGTTCGTATGGGTCAGCCAGAAGCACGTGACGTTTTCCCGCGGCGGCGGAAATCGACATTGCAGCTGCACCGTCGAGCCCTCGTGCGTGTCCATTTGCGTCTCGTCGACGCGTGCATGGATGGGCGCTGAAAAACGAGAAAAAATCAAGTTCAGCTCGTTAAATCATAGACTCTCTTGAAAAGATTGAAACTTTTTCCCGAATATTTTTACGATATGAGTTTCTCCCTTCTCCGTTAAAGGAAAAAAACGGAAAAATATCTATACGGTCCTTTAATAATATTTATCGGATTATACATTATGCTATATATGTACGGTAACAACGTTAACGAACGATCGATCGGCGCCACGAGGTAACCCGATAACCCGGTGACCCGATGAATAAATCGACCGCAAGAGCGATGGGCGAGGATCGATCGGTCTCTTCTGGCCGCACTTTACACTTTTGCACATACACGCGTTTTCCATTAAGATACGGGAATATAAATTCGCGGTGCGCGTAGTGGTAGTAGTAGTATAGTGCGTCAGGAGCGCGTTAATGCGATACAAATTACCTGTCGGCTGTCAACCCAGTTTTAGGTTGAACCGACTCTCGCCTTTTGCGCAATTAACGCCGAGTCCTCGCGCCGTTTTCGCAGCAGCTTGATGACAATGCCGATTGTCGCCCGGGCATGATTGAAGCAAGTGGGAAGGAATAACGCGATTTGGCGACGCGACGCGAAAAGCGTCGGACGTTTCGCGCCGTGTCGCATTTACGAAATAATGAACACGCGAAAACGGTTCGTCGCCCGGCTACAGCTCGCTCTGCTGCGTGAATTCCTGTCTCTTTTACGGCAGCGCAGCAGCGCGAGATACCGTTAGAGAATATCCGGGACGGCTCGCATTCTGCGAGAGAAATTGGTTTACCCTCTCGCTCGTGTTTTCGTCGTGAGCTATCCAATTAAAAGCACGAAGGATGACGGCTATAAAGGTTAATTTAAAAGAAAAGAATGAGAGAAGAAGAAGATGGTTGAGAGAAAATTGTGCGTGTATAACTTAAATAAATAACGCGTAATAATTTTTCCATCAACGCGCAAACAACGTACGTTCAACTTTAATATCTGCGTATGTGTCTATAGAGAGGGACACCATTGTAACACCATGTGCGTCGACAACAAACATTGTACGAGCTCGTTTTATTTTTTCTTTTTCCTTTTTTTTTATAAAATTCCGAATACGCTTCATATAAAAAAAAATTATTACATACGAATCCGTTACGCACGATAACCAATATGTGTTATACATGTGCAAAGTTTACAATAAAAAGGTCAAAATTGACATGATATAAAAATGATAACCGATGGAAAAAATTGTCCACATTTATAAAAATGCGTGTTTAAAAATACATATTTTTATTACATGTCTCTTGTGCTCTAAAGTAACGTTTGTTTCGTACACGCAAAGTATTCACGGTTTAAAAGTTTGTTTGTTCCATCTTTACAAAAGAAACAAAAAAAAGCTCTGCATTCTCCCACGCTGTTTGTGCGTTTTGCAACCAACCGTGGAAACAACACGTCATTCCCACCCATTCCTCTCTACCGTACCGTATATTTGTTTAGTAAATATAAATGGTAAATATAAAATTTCGGTAATTCTTCACGCAAATTAAGAGAGAGATGGGGGTATTTAGTGCGGTTCTAATTATAAAAAAAATCTATAATAGTGATCGATAGTGAGAACAGACTGATGTAAAATGAAATAGATATTCCAATAACTATCGCTGATGAGTCCGGTTATAATTATTTCAATTCCCGTAGAGACCGTTTCAACGAATATTTAATGATCGAATGATCTCATACACGTCAGCGCCAATTTAAACTATATAGATAATTTTAAATATCTCCTTCGCTTTTCGAGACCGATTTGTCTACGCTTTAAAGAGAAATGGTCTTTAAATTGATCGACGAAAAATATAGACGCGAGAGAAGAGATAACTTTTAGTATATATTTCATTATACATCGAATATTAATAAATCTAGCGTAATTTTCGTACATCCCTTTAAGAATGATGTTTTCGCTATTATGAAAATCGATGGTCATATGACAGTGGCATCGCGGCTTTTCACTATCGCAACGTAATATCGAATGTCGACACAAATCACTGTGTGAAAATCGAATATCACAGCGCGGTGACGTTGAAAACTAATAGTTCCCCCGCAGTGTCGTGACCACAAATATCGCGAATATTTATGGTTAGGACTGCACTGTCGTTGAGTTAACGTTAACCAAAGTTAACTAAATGCTCGATCTAAATCGTAGTCACGACATAACGATATAAAAAAGACATTCGCGCGGAGAAGTTACGAATGCGGGAATAGCGAATGCTGTCTGTTCGACTTGAGTCTCCCACAGAGACTCGTGATATTCAACAATGAAGCTCATGACGTACGTTGCAGGCGTACGTCTTGTCATGGTTTCGTATATTCAAATGGGAACCCTATGAACCACTTGAGTTCGTCTGTATGTCTGTCTATCTCGGACTTGTTCTGCCCTGCTACTCGCTTATCTATTCAGAGCTGGAGAAGAATTTTCAGGTTTATCGTGAATAAGTATACGTTCAATTCTTCGATGCTAATAAAATGTACCGAAAAAAGAAATGGAAGAATGGGCGTTAAAGAGAGGCGTTATAATATATTTTCGCAGTATTACCGAGTTTAACGAATAGAGCGGATACGCGAAGAAATGCAGATTCCTACGCGAATAATGAAACAGAATACCGAAGAAGGATCGGGATATTTAATGAGTATTGAAATTCTCGACGAATCTTCGGAGGAGAGAAATATATGTATATATCATCGGAAATTCTCCTCTCTAAATAAATTCGACGAAATAAACGTTTGACCTCACGGCTCCTGAGGTGTAAAGTGGAACTTTCTCGCACACGGTGAATGCTCGCGCGCAAACGATTTCATTTACACATTCGCGTTATATACTACCGTACTGTACTACTATCGGTTACGAAGCACCGACGAACGATGGAAGCGGCCACGTATCTCCTCTCTGCATTGGGTCACGTAACGGTAAAACCGCCGGTCGACTCGACTTGTCAACGCTATTGAGGCTCGTCCTCTACCGCGCCATTTTGTTTGGAAATGTTCGGGGACGCATCTTTTGCCTCTCGTGATTCCTCTCTTTTCCTCGCTCGAATTTTCGCACTGACGTTTATCTCGGCTACTACCCCCGCTTTTCGATTTATTCGTCTACGATCCGCGCGTTTGATTGTTCCTACGTTCGTTCATCTATCCGTCCACCCATCTCTCCGCTCGTCAGCTGATACTACATCGAGAATCGACGAGTTCGCTCGTATATCCGTTCTCGTTCGCGCATTGTCCTATTATTTTCCTTCGGCAATTTCCTCGCTCCGTTTTCGGACGACAGGAACTTCCTCTTTTTCTCTTCCCTACCCTCGCGACATGACGTTCATCCTTTTAAAGGTACGAATCCCGATTCGTGGCTTCACCGAGAACACGCCATTACGATATTACATTACACGTGAATAAGTTCTTGCATCTTGCGATTTTTATAGATGGAAGGTAAATATAGGTGGAAGGTAGATTTCGCCAAAACTCTCGCGGAGGGCAGAGGTATCTTCGAAATGTATATAACCAAGGTATATAAAAGAATTCTTTTAGATTCTCTCTCTGTTCTTCGCGAAAAAATCTGAAAATTAAATTCTGGCCACTTCGCTGTGTGATATATTGAATTTACAATATTATAAGGGAAAGTAAGAAATCATATTTGTAATTCTCTGTGGTATAAGAGACATATTATCATTCTCCGACATTATTATATTCGCGCGAAATATTACGGCATCACGCGGCTTTAATTGAAATCTATTTTTGAACCGCGATGTCCCATATATATTTTTAATTATTTACCAATGATGGATTTTATTACTGGAATAGCATTGATCTCACCGAGCTAACGTTATACCCACTTAACGGTATCGGCAATTTTTCATGAGTTTTATACAAAGTTACGAGAGCTGGCGAAGAAAAATCCACAAAGTTGGATAGAATACGCGAAAGATCAAGAGAAAGTTTTTACAAAATTTAATCATTTATCGGGTATATAACGTTGTTCTTTTGAAAATTCGATCTCAATACGGCCTAAAAATATCTATAGAGGCAAAAACGGCTTCAAACTGATATAAATATCTAATGGATCACGTGTTTGTGAAAAAAGTGACTTTTTCGCTCGACGATCCAGATGGCAAAACTGCTTTTTCCCTCTCTTTCCATATCGATGCTTTGCCAGAGCTTTCCGGAAAATTATGCCTTTATGATCGTTGCATATTTCTTCGCTTTTCTCTCTCTCTCTCTCTCTCTCTTCCTCTTTCTCTCGTATTCGAGAGAGCGCTTCGTCGATCGCAAGTGTTGCTACAATTTGTCGTCGTAAGGCGCTTTCAAAGCGACTTTAAATCGTTATGTTGCTCCGCGAGCGAGTGAATTACGTTGCTTGGCAAAATCAACTTTCCGCGCTAGATTATTCCGCTCTGCTCTACATTTCCTTCAAAGAGGGACTCTTACTTTTGCTTAAATCCATTTCTAACCAAGTTTCGTTGAAAGTATGCGCTCGGTTCTTTGCGTGCGGTACGCGTTGCGTGAGCGATCGAGTTTTCGCGACAAGATACGGTCATTTAAAAAAAAGAAGGCATATACCGATTAATCTTGATTGTGGAAGAAATAATAATAAATACATATAATGAGTAAGTAGAGCGCGAGAACGCGGAGAGCATGGCGGCGTTACTTCTCACACAGTCACGATTATCGATTTTCCAATCGTTATTCTCTCTTATAGCAGAAATTCGATAAACGTCTATCACTTACGGCAGCAATATTAAATACTTTGGCGATTAAATCTCCGCGCTGAAAATCTATCGAAACAAAATATCATATCTGGTTATTCTCAGTATCAGGTGGACTTTCGATTAGCTGGACAATCCTCGTCGTCAGTTTCAGACAGGATTTAATTTCGAATCGCGAAAATTTCGTAAATTTTCCGTATTCTTATATATCTCTTCAATCCCTTTAAAATCCCGAATCTATCGACGTCTGCGGTTGAAACGTAAAATGGGAGGATAGGATCT